ATATACTACTTCTTGTTCAGTGATAACTTTGTCTGTTGAACCATCTGCTAAAATACTGACAAACCTACTGTTTTCCAAATCCTGAGCAGTTTCTTTCTTCAACACATCTGCTATAGATTTGGTGAATGCCTTGCAAGCATGATCATTCAAATAATTTGTACCAAGTATTACACCATTCTTAGACTGCAACTGACAAAAACTTGGAAATTTTGAAAATGGTTCCCCTTCTATTGCAACAAAGTAGGCTGTTGTGAATAGCTTTTCATAAACTTCACTGTTTTTTTGCATTGACTTGGCAAACTGCGCAGTCTGGGGTTTGTCAAAATTTTTATCATGTTCACAGCACTGCATGAATGTGCTTCCTACTTTTAGCGTGAAATTTCAAAGTTTCTTTTCTGAAATTATGATGTAAACCAGTTACGAGTCCACATTGGGATCAGATAGTTTGGGGTATTTTCCACAGACAGTGCAATACAACTCGCTGTCTTCATCATCATCATCATCATCATCATCATCATCATCATCATCATCATCATCATCATCAAATTTTGCCCATTCAAATTCACTCGACCACGCAGATTGTACAAAACGTTTTCGCTTTTGTGTATGATATTGTTTTTGACTAAGTTTTCGTTTCTCCTCCTGTGCAGTCAACTTTTCGCGGCACGACCCTCCGAAGAGAAAAACTTTCTCATATCCGCCATTTTGGTTTAGTTAGCAACCGGCCACTTACATCAATGAAACAGTCAGAAATGAACTTCATTAGAAGTCATGGTGAAGTCAGAGTTTGAAGGTATATAATCAAGCACTGAAGATCAAGAATGTTGTTCCTCCAGAATTTGCAATAAAAATTTGAATGCACTGTTTTCTGGATGCTAAAACGTCAGAAAAAGAACATTATCTGTTATTGTCCCAGTATTTGTGAATACATGTGGAGTATAGTTTGTTGTTTTGGTAGACTCTAACAGAGAACAGTTGATTGCTGGGGGCTGTGTGCACCGTGATGAACTGTAGGCCCTCCACCCATGACTTCCCGGTGTGTACTGACTGTATTTCATTGAGATCCTGCTTACTCATGTAAACATATATACATCCTGGTCAGAATGAAAACATGAGATTGGCTGATAGCTGAACAAGGAACGGTGGACATGGAGGGTGCAGTGATGTGAGACAATTCTATAAAATAAGGTATTGCTTGAAGATGTAGAGAGAGGTGAGATGAAATGGGGTTTAACATTATTGCACGTATTTGTGTGTGTGGCTGTTTGTACTCATCCGGACTGATGCCGATTTATAGTGCTAGCCCACTGAGGTACCATGCTGCAGTTTAACATGAATACCCCACTCAGACACAGTATACTGACTCCGAGCCGACCTGTCCTTGTTTTAGCCCCTTAATGCAGAGTGCCAGGCTGGGTAACAACAAGTACCATCTTTTAATATCTTTTGGTATAACCCCTGTGGATCGAACCCTGGACCTTCCACCTTCCAGGCGGACACTCTACCACTAGACCACGGAGTCAGCCTTTTTGTAAAGGTTCTTAATATAACCCAATACCCATAAGCATGATAATGGCACGCATATAGGCAAAATTAATTTTAGTTATTCCCACTTGTCATATTAATGATAATAACAATTGTTCTATTGTTTTCATTGTTTGGGAAGAGGACCAAGCAATGTGACGTCATGTGAACATTATTGTTGCAAATAATTGAAGATGATGTCGTCCATTGTTTATGTGGTGTCGTTACAACAGTAGAGGAGTGAAACAGGACTACATATTATAAGTATAACCTACTTGCAAGTGGGCATTACGGAATATCAGTCCTCAAAGTATTCTCTCGGGACAAATAATCCTTAATTCCCTGTTTGAGTAGACAGAGGTTATTCTCTAAATATTGCTTTTTGTTTTCCAAAGTTTATAAAATAAATGAATATTATATTTGGATTAGTGATTACAGACAAATACAGTATTTAGGTTGTGAATGTTAAAAAAATGGATAAGCCGAAATAGTTTTAATCAAATAGACAGAAAATAATTTGGATATCTTTTCTTAAGATGAAACATCCTGTCCTCATCAAATTAGGACATTGTATTTGTAATTTGTTATTCAGAATTGATTCAGTATTTGCTGAGGACTCATGTATCAAACTGGTCCTCAAAGGGGTTATCCATAACAAACTCTCATAATTGTTAATAATCCTAAACAAGGTCTAATTTGATTATTTTCAATTCAACTTGAGTCAAATGACAGATGTTTGCCCATTCTGTGCATTTGCTAACTTTATAAAATAATGAATTGTAGAGATAACTATCTTAAACACTTCAACATTTGTTAAGATACTGGGAGATTCAGATGACATGGTAGAACTTTCATGATGGTTACATGGTTACATGGTTACATGGCTAAACAGGGGACAGCTCATTCGTGACCAAATCGTGTTATTCCGGGACAAGCCGAATAGCGACTTGTGCCCCTCTCATGGCCATTTTTGCGACCAGGTTCCATCTTAGTGCAAACGGGCAAACCTAAAACAATTGTCAGCTAGTTGCATAATGGTTCACATATATTTCCCAATAAATTATATATATTTCAGATGCAATTTAAAGCACATTGGGACGAGCGGAATTATACGTATGATTGAACACATTTAACTGTGTCTTGGGTATATTTTTAGATGCAAGTCATTAGTAAAATTAAAAATTATTTCTGTGGTATTCTTTGACAAAGAATTTGAAATCACGCGCGCATTCCGATTGATTTTGTCATATTTTCACACATAACATTCATCAATAGGGGGACGAATCATCTTGCAGGTTACGGAAAGGGCGAGTGGTGACGAATGGGACAGCTTACACTTACAGCCAGGTCACACAATGTCTAGGTGATATAGATATGCTTGTGAAGCTGTGTTAGAGGGAAAGCTAACTGTTTTTAAAGTGTGGCGAGCCATGCTGTAGACACGATTGCTTTGATACGAACAAGGAAGTGCAGGTAAACAACAGAAGATTGCTCTGCCATGTCAACTGTGTCACACATAACTGAGAAAATGTAGCTGACTACATATAAAGATGATATTAGTTTGGCCACCACAAATTTAATATCAGATTTTTTATCCACATTTTTGAAAAATGTGAAGATGGAATTTTTATTTTAAATGTTTGTCTTTCTGACATACAAGTCAAGGTATCATTGTATATTAACTTTCGACAGATATATTCATGAGAAGCGTGATGTTTTATTGGACTATATGAGATCGCTTCGCGATAAATTGCAAAGAACAATGAAGAATGAAGTGTGGTTTATTTCACGATAAAACATTGTTCTATCATGACGTAATTTCTGGAGATTTGAATATGCGCTCGCAACGTGAGGACGTCATATATTGGTCAACGTTATTTTTTAGAGGAAAGTGTCTATTGAGTTGTTCCTCATAGATTTAGCTGGACAGTGCAGATGAATGCAAAGGCCGAATGATCGCATTCAAAAGTTTGAGAGATATGACAATCGGTATTGGGAGAAAAGGAGAGATAATTGCTGGAGGATTGTCAGAATATGCGGGAAATACCTAACTTAACCCACATGTTCGTAAAAGGGACTATTCTATTCAATGAGTCATCATTATTTAAATACAGGTACGTTTTAGTAACATCTTAAAGAGGCTGTACATAATATTGATGTCTGATTTAAGAAATAATCGACTCGTTGTTGTTGTTTATCTTACAATAATTAAATTTTCGTTGTGTTCATGGAAATTCCTGCATTCTGATTAGCTGAATTGGTCACGTGTTATTGCATTCATTTCCCAATGAATGTAAAAAATTAAGCCACGCCCACGGCGGCGCACTACTTTTATTACTGCGGAATGTCGGGGAATCCCAATATTACAGTCGAGGGAATTCCCTTTCTGCTGGTGTATCGTCATGCACAGGACATTTAGCGACTTTCATGCATATTCATTTTCCAAACAACCGTTTGAAACCGAAAACGAATGAAACAGCAAACGTGCAGGCTCTCTCGACTGTTTTTTCCCCGCTCGTCTCGGTTCAACTTTCATGTCTTCGGGTTTCATGTCTAACTAGCATTTCTCTAACTGAGTTTTACCGTAATCAGGGAAGTAATGTTTGAATCACGCAGTAAATGACCATGTTATTTGAAACAGCCGCCTTCTCTCGGTCGACATATTTCTTCCGGTTCGTTACAGTCTGACTGTTGCAGTTCTTTTTGCCTCTTGCCTTAATTGACAGGTCTAATGAACATTGTTTTAATCCCACTCTCCGTTGATTGGCTACTGACTGTGTAGGCGTGTTAAGTTATGTGCATAAATTAAACGATCACCTGATACATGTCACGCCACTGTATATATTCCTACACCTGGAATGTTTATCAATGTCGTCATTTTTGTCTGTTTTGATATATGCAACTGTTTTGGGTTAAACTATTGTAGATAAAACATGTTTAACGTTGTCAAATTTAATTATAAGCATTGACTGTATATTTTTTTCGGTTCATTGAGGTATGAATCGAAAAACCGATGTGCAAACTTTTGTAAGAATCCGCTACGCGGATTCATACAGTTTGCACATCGGTTTTTCGATTCATACCTCAATGAACCGAAAAAAATACACAGTCAATCCTTAAATAATTTTTTAATTTGAAGTTTACACGATATACGGCTTTTCCATTGGACGAGAGGTCGGTCACATGACCGCGAAATTGACATTCGTAAGTGTATGATAAAGCTGGTTGTTGTTTGGCTGTCAGTGTAAACATGAAGTCACACGTACTAAATAATAAAATTGTGTTTAGATCTTGGCCTACGAAATTGTGATAAAAAATTATAAGAATTGACCTTCACTTTGTGTGAGTTTATTGGAGTATGAACCTTCATAGAGTGAGGGCCAAACTGTATGAACGTCATACAAAGTGAAGGTCAATTCTTAATTAAACACGACAGGGAGAATAAACCATGAGGGGTGCAGAGCCAAGGTGTTCACAGCTCTTGTGTCAAGTGATATGGTACAGTTGCCAGGGTATTCTAAGCTCTTGTGTGAGGTGATATTGTACAGTGAATAGGGTTTTCTAAGCTCTTGTGTGAGGTGATATTTTCCATTTCCGAGGTCGATGAGCGGAATGAAATGTGTGGTTCAGTGTTCTGAGGAGTCAAAAACAGCTTTGATATCGAGGTCAGCCATGATGTCCTTACAATAAAGCCTTGATCCCCTTTTTTGTGTTTATGATTCAGTGATGCTCTAAAAAACATTTTGAATTGTAAACACTTCATGAATAACATCACATACTGGTGGATGGAGATGGTGGATGGGTCTCACACAGATCCTGCTTCTGTAAGGCCATCAATGGCCACCTCTGGCGCAAAGAACGAAATATTTCACAATGTTCTGTCAAGGGAAGAATGAAACTGTTGTTGAGATGTTATCGGAACATCACAGATGATGTATGACTTGACACTGATGCCCTACAGCACTTGTGCTTTTCTCCTGTTTATCAGAGATCTCTTCTGATGTAAACATCACACAGGGACTTTCCAATAAAAATCCATCATGACACATGAAGGGACCGACTATTTGGTTGTGTCATTACTTCGTGAAGTTCATTAATGGAGAAACCTGACCTGTCGTCGCAAGTCTGTCATCCATAACTATTTTACATAGAGAATCTCACCCGAGTGTCTTTCAATATCAAATATATCAACATGAGTTGATAAAAGTGGAAGAATTCCGAGGCTTGCCGAGGATTTTTGCCACTTTTATCAACGAGTGTTGATATATTTGATATCAAAAGACACGAGGGTGAGATTTTATTTATCATCCAACATCATTCTTCCAACTTTTTCAATTTGTAGACAATAATTAGCAGTGTCTTCAGTGTAAATTGTACTGCTAACAGCTTCAGTAGCAGAACCATAAGTGGTGTTATTTGATTGTGGCGTCATGGTAACCAGTGATGTCACAATGGTCTGCCAAGCATTGTGATGTAATTTCATTGCAGCGATATCTACAGTGTAGATATCGCTTGATCTCATCCAAGGGATATCTCCTGTGCCAGCCAGTTTTGGATGATAAATGATAAACTCCTCTGAAATGGCTTGATGGATTCAGCTGAATCTTTGTTGATGTGTGTCACTGCGTCATGTTCAAGGGGTTTCAAGTTGTTCAAGGCATTCAAACTTGTTCAATACAGCAGCCAGGTAGCCATTTTTCTCTCAGAAAGGTAGGACTAAACAATTTATCATCCCAAACAGGCTCCCACAGGAGATATCGCTTGGGTGAAATCAAGCGATATCTACACTGTAGATATCGCTGCAATGAAATTACATCACAATGCTTGCAGACCATTGTGACGCCACTGGTTACCATGACGTCACAATCAAATGACATCACTAATGGCTCTGCTACTGAAGCTGTTAGCTGTACTTTTTTACACTGAAGACACTGCTAATTACCCCAATCCCACCCAGCAAACAAGCATGTCTAAGGCCATATGATTTTTGCCAACCTTTTCTAGGACAGAATATAATATTCCCTGGCCCCTTGCACAAATATCAATATAGTTTAAAATATAGTTTGTTTGTTGTTTAATGCCGCACTCAGCAATATTCCAGCTATATGATGGCGGTCTATAAATAATCAAGTTTGGACCAGACAATCCAGTGATTGATATCATGAGCATCAATCCAAGTAATTGGGATACGATGACATGCATCAACCTGTTAGTCACCTCTTACAACAAGCATAGTCACCTTTTACAGCAAGCATGGGTTTCTGAGCACCTATTCTCCTCCAGATCCTCACGGTTCCCATATATATAGTATGTGATTTATGAGATACCGTGATGACTTGTGACAGCTCATGTACTCTCTGAAGAACAGAAGCGTCTATAGACTTGATCAGTAGATGTCCATTGCAACCCCATTGTGAGTCAGTATAAGGACCTATTTCAAGCCACTGCTCACAACACTATCAAAAGCCATCACCACACAACGCACTGCCTTGTCCTCTGTGGGAGAATGTCCATGCTATAGATATGGTAATTGTAACACTGGAGTTAGTAGGGGGAATTCAATACATCTATCAGCTGAAGGGGTCCGCAGAGTCCAAAGCTGGACCTGAAATGTTTCGAGTGATTACATACAGTTTGTGTTGGGTTGCTTGTTCTTTTAGAACTTGTAGTTGGCTCTTTGTTAATGTCTACCACTCAGCTCAGTAAATGTTTGGCTCCAGTAGCCATGCTAGCCTAAACATGTCTTTTTTGGTAGATTTTAGTTTTGACATGTGTGTTTATAGCATTAGCTGTGATTACTCTACACAAACATAGATATTAATTGTGGAAATTTCTTTTTGATTTGTCGCAATTTTGTGTCTGCAGATTCATTAACCAAGTTATGAGAAATAACCATATTACCTTATCCTAACTCATTCTAATTGTTTATCTCATCTCAGTTCCGAATGGTAGTGGAAACTTCCTGTGCTATGTTCCCAGAGAGCAGAGAAACATTTTCACATTATCACCAAAATTCACCCCTAAGACTAAGCCGGCATACTCGTCAGGCTCTCATTTTCGCATCAACTGAGTAGTTGGAAAAACTCCGTAATCCCAACCATCCTATCAAACGTAACTATTTTCAATATAAAAAAATGGCGCGAAATTACATTCTTCTAAGCTTTATACATCATATCTAACAATTATTTTCTTTAAATTAATCTAATTTTCATTTTAATCACAATTTAACGATGGATTAGAGTCATCATGTGCCAGCCAGGTCCTGGGACGACCTTCAGTATTCTCACCTTCGGATCCAAACTCTGGCTGATGTTAATACAGTTATATTACCATTTCGGTTTATGGGTACCAATGATGATCAAGACAGGATGGACACCAACCGGATCATTCAATGGAATTTCACCAGTACAATTGGCTTTGTTGAATGTTGACAATATTTTCAACTACAGTAAACTACGTTTATAACGAACAGGCTTATAACGAACTGGTGGATATAACGAACTGGTTTTTAGGTCCCTGCCATTTGCTGTATATATGCGTATAACGAACTACGGTTATAACGAATTTAAAATCCCAATCGGACATTTGCATTTAGGCCACACACCCTTCAAATAGCGTATTTTAGTACGACTTTTCGCACAGTACTACAAGTTTACGTATTCATAATATGATGAATTATGAATTGTTTCAATTTAAATTGTGTACTACACTGACAAGCTTTGTTTGTTTTGATTGCTGTAAATACATCGTACCTACATGATAGTCCAATCGGTCAATCACTGTAATAGGCAATAAACTGAGTTGACACTGATTAATCGAGGATTAATTACTGAGAACATCTTGTAAATTTGAGTGAAAGGGGTTTACAACTGTACATAAATACCTTGCATCATTGATGTACCTCATTATCCTCACAATGCTATGATACGTAGCCTCAGACAAGTAGCGAAAGCGTGACGATAGCCAGTCGACCGATGCAGATCAGTCGAGCGTATCTGCCAAACCCTCAAAGTCTGGACGATCATATTGTAAGTCGTGGCTAACGACTTTCACTTGGTTGACATACAATGAGGATTTGCAGATTTTATTGTTTTCAGTAGCTAGTCGTATATTGAATCTTGATTGACCGCCATTTTGCTTTCTCAGATCGATATCAATTTTTTTTATGGTCAATAATTAAGTACAGATGAAAAAAGTATTCAAATAACTATTGCTATCAACGATATTTTAGTATTTGTGATTAAATTATCTGTCTTGTTTTTATAAAAATCTTTAGTTTAAAAAAAACCTTTTCCCGTGAGGTCACGTGATAACCAAATATGGGATAATAGTCTCGGTCCAAATGTTACAACGCGTACACAATTTAAATTGAAACAATTCATAATTCATCATATTATGAATACGTAAACTTGTAGTACTGTGTGAAAAATCGTACTAAAATACGCTATTTGAAGGGGGTGTGGCCTAAATGCAAATGTCCGATTGGGATTTTAAATTTTCCGGACCCCTGCAATAGACACTGATTGGATGTGTGTATTATAGCAAATATAGCACAATAGACACTGATAGGATGTGTGCATTATAGCAAATATGGCACAATAGACACTGATAGGATGTGTGCATTATAGCAAATATGGCACAATAGACACTGATAGGATGTGTGCAACACAGCAAATATAGCACAATAGACACTGGTCAGATGTGTGCAATACATCAATTATAGCCTGATAGACACTGATGACATGTGTGCAATACATCAATTATAGCCTGATAGACACTGATGACGTGTGTGCAATACATCAATTATGACACAATAGACACTAATCAGATGAGTGAAACATAGCAAATATGGCACGAAAGACAGTGATCAGATTTTTACAATACAGCAATTATAGACACTGATGACGTGTGTGCAATACAACAATTATGATAGATAGATTTGCTTAGTTAGGTATCTTTGAACAGCAGAGAGAGAGAGAGGGGGCAGGTGGGTGTGATGTACACTTACTTAGTTGAGACAGGTGTGATGGCTGATGTACACTTACTTAGTTGAGACAGGTGTGATGTACACCTACTTAGTTGAGACAGGTGTGATGTACACTTACTTAGTTGAGACAGGTGTGATGTACACTTACTTAGTTGAGACAGGTGTGATGTACACTTACTTAGTTGAGACAGGTGTGATGGCTGATGTACACTTACTTAGTTGAGACAGGTGTGATGTACACTTACTTAGTTGAGACAGGTGTGATGGCTGATGTACAATTACTTAGTTGAGACAGGTGTGATCTGCACTTACTTAGTTGAGGCAGGTGTGATGTACACTTATTTAGTTGAGGCAGGTGTGATGGCTGATGTACACTTACTTAGTTGAGACAGGTGTGATGTACACTTACTTAGTTGAGGCAGGTGTAATGGCAGATGTACAATTACTTAGTTGAGGCAGGTGTGATCTGCACTTACTTAGTTGAGGCAGGTGTGATGTACACTTATTTAGTTGAGGCAGGTGTGATGGCTGATGTACACTTACTTAGTTGAGACAGGTGTGATGTACACTTACTTAGTTGAGGCAGGTGTAATGGCAGATGTACAATTACTTAGTTGAGGCAGGTGTGATGTACACTTACTTAGTTGAGGCAGGTGTGATGTACACTCACTTAGTTGAGGCAGGTGTGATGGCTGGTGTACAATTACTTAGTTGAGACAGGTATGATGTACACTTACTTAGTTGAGGCAGGTGTGATGTACACTTACTTAGTTGAGGCAGGTGTGCTGTACACTTACTTAGTTGAGGCAGGTGTGATGGCTGATGCACACTTACTTAGTTGAGGCAGGTGTGATGTACTCTTACTTAGTTGAGGCAGGTGTGATGTACTCTTACTTAGTTGAGGCAGGTGTGATGTACACTTACTTAGTTGAGACAGGTGTAAGGTTATGAACCAGGTTAGGTAGCAGATAGATTACCAAAAGCTCAGAGTATGTAGCACTAGGTTGTGGTTTACACTCAGATTAGTTCACTCAGTGCAGTTCACAGAAAAAAATACAATTTCCTAAAATATAATTAACCTAAAATATGTTATGTTGCTTTTTTTCCAAGTCCTTATGCTGAATAAACTCATAAGTTTCGTGTGTTAGTAATGTATCTTGATATTGGCTGGAAAGTGTGCATGTATAATTTAATGAAAAAATAAAATTTTCCCACTCAAATTACTGACATTTTCGACCAGGATATGATATAAGACTGACTACACAGGCAGGTGTGTGTAGAGGCTGAGTCGCCACGGGTGCAGGCCTTGGTTGCAGTAGCAAATATACAAATATAGACAAGTGTTCGGAGTGGCTCGCCTGTCTGCTTCGTCATATGGTGTCAGCACGATTCAAATTCGGGAGCTCTTCATTGAAATGTATGCAGATGTATTAGTCAACTTTTAACTCCCCAAAACGATTAATCATTTGTTGAAACTAACATTTGCTGAATGGTTCCCCACAGGCATTTGTAAACAAGGTAAAATTGACGTAGTAGAGTAAAGAGACTTGTGTACTTTAGCATGATGAGAAGTAAATAGAACATAGATATATCTCTTGTGGCTGGTTACTTGTCTGTGCATATGTTAATGACTTTCAGGGCTGGTATATGCATCTGTTAATCTGGTATGTCTAGTATACTTAGTGGTATAAGCATGTCATGGTGAGCCTATACAGTGTACGCATTGTTGATCTGTTTAGTTATGGCATATATATCTAATATTCTTCGGGTAATATGTTATGTCCGATATATTTTTCTGTAATATGTCATAGCTGGTATATTCTTCTGTTAATATGTCATAGCTGGTATATTCTTCTGTTAATATGTCACAGCTGGTATATTCTTCTGTTAATATGTCATAGCTGGTATATTCTTCTGTTGATGTGTCATAGTTGGTATATTCTTCTGTTAATATGTCATAGCTACTATATTCTGTTAATGTGTCATAGCTGGTATATTCTTCTGTTAATATGTCATAGCTGGTATATTCTTCTGTTAATATTCCATAGCTGGTATATTCTTCTGTTAATATTACAAATGTTTTGTATGAAAAAAGCATAAGGTGTAAGAATGCTTTGTCATGGTGACTAGAGGCTTTTGATAACATGATCGATCTCACAGCACATGCCAGCAATGTTGTAAGCAGGTGTTCTTATAGAGGAGCAGAGGCTCCCATACAGCTAAGTTTTTTTGTTTGTTTTGTTTTGTTTTTTAAAAATATTTTTCATTCAATTCAGTATATGATGTTACCTACTTTTACACAGAGTAACATGCCATGTAGTATGTTTGGATGGGGTGTACAACAATGTTAAGAAATGGTGAAACGAGCAGGCTACATTTGCCATGCTTTTTGGGGTCATCATTAACTATGTGCGAAGCTAAATCCTAACAGCGCATTAGTGGAAATTGTCCATGTTCAAAATAGAGACATATTAACTAGACAATTCATTTGCCAATTTTTTCAATTTTCTGTCAAACTTTCTAATTGTATTGTTTTTGTGTTCAATTGATTTCTCTATCCGAAATATATCGATAAAAATCTTCAGAAATTTTCAAGTAAGAATTTGTTTTTCTTAAGTTTGTTTGTTGTTTAATGCCATACTGGGCAGTATTCCATCTATATGACAATGGCCTGTAAATAATCGAGTATAAACCAGAATGTGATTGAAATTGTGAAGAAATAGCCATGCTGGCCACAGTACATATGTACCTGTATAATACTGTTCAGGTCACAGAGTTCCGTTTTGTCAAGTCACAGTTACTGGGCGTTTTTGTGAAGTCAAGGATAACTGGGCCTTTTTTAAGTTAAGGTTACTTTGATAAAAATCATTTCTATTATGACCAGCGTGTTTTAATGGACACTCTGACATGAATATAGCAGCAACTGTTGTGTTAATGACCTGTGCCTGCATGCCTCGATGGCCTCGTAACAACTCCCAGATTGTTTGTACAATGGCTTTTAGTGGGTTGGCCATGTACATGTTCTATTTAATAAAGTATTTTGTAAGTGTTTTCCTATGATGGCTGTGTGCATGCGCTTCGTGGGCTGTACAAGCTGACATACTGCGCATGCGTGCATGGCCCCGTGACAAGTGACGGTCTGACGTGTTACAGCACCAGCTGACATACTGTGTACATGGCCCCGTGACAAGTGACGGTCCTACGCGTTACAGCACCAGCTGACATACTGCGTGCATGGCCCCGTGACAAGTGACGGTCCTACGCGTTACAGCACCAGCTGACATACTGCGTGCATGGCCCCGTGACAAGTGACGGTCCTACGCGTTACAGCACCAGCTGATATACTGCGTGCATGGCCCCGTGACAAGTGACGGTCCTACGCGTTACAGCACCAGCTGACATACTGCGTGCATGGCCCCGTGACAAGTGACAGTCCTACGTGTTACAGCACCAGCTGATATACTGCGTGCATGGCCCCGTGACAAGTGACGGTCCTACGTGTTACAGCACCAGCTGACATACTGCGTGCATGGCCCCGTGACAAGTGACGGTCCTATTTGTTACAGCACCAGCTGACATACTGCGTGCATGGCCCCGTGACAAGTGATGGTCCTACGTGTTACAGCACCAGCTGACATACTGCGTGCATGGCCCCGTGACAAGTGATGGTCCTACTTGTTACAGCACCAGCTGATATACTGCGTGCATGGCCCCGTGACAAGTGACAGTCCTACTTGTTACAGCACCAGCTGATATACTGCGTGCATAGCCCCGTGACAAGTGACGGTCCTACGTGTTACAGCACCAGCTGACATACTGCGTGCATGGCCCCGTGACAAGTGACGGTCCTATTTGTTACAGCACCAGCTGACATACTGCGTGCATGGCCCCGTGACAAGTGATGGTCCTACGTGTTACAGCACCAGCTGACATACTGCGTGCATGGCCCCGTGACAAGTGACAGTCCTACGTGTTACAGCACCAGCTGATATACTGCGTGCATGGCCCCGTGACAAGTGACAGTCCTACGTGTTACAGCACCAGCTGATATACTGCGTGCATGGCCCCGTGACAAGTGACAGTCCTACGTGTTACAGCACCAGCTGATATACTGCGTGCATGGCCCCGTGACAAGTGACGGTCCGACGTGTTACAGCACCAGCTGACATACATGCATGCATGGCCCCGTGACAAGTGACGGTCCTACGTGTTACAGCACCAGCTGATATACTGCGTGCATGGCCCCGTGACAAGTGACGGTCCTGCGTGTTACAGCACCAGCTGACATACTGCGCATGCGTGCATGGCCCCGTGACAAGTGACAGTCCTACGTGTTACAGCACCAGCTGATATACTGCGTGCATGGCCCCGTGACAAGTGACGGTCCTACGTGTTACAGCACCAGCTGACATACTGCGTGCATGGCCCCGTGACAAGTGACGGTCCTACTTGTTACAGCACCAGCTGACATACTGCGTGCATGGCCCCGTGACAAGAGACAGTCCTATATGTTACAGCATTTGGTGTGGAGGTAGGACTTTAAAAGCAGCATAAAATATGGCTCTGTTAGGTGTGGACTTTTTTGGGTGTTACATGATATTGTCGGAATATTTCTATAAGCAGCATAAAAAATGGCTCTGTTGGGAGTGGGTTTTTAGTGGTGTTGTATGATATTGCCATGATTGCTGGAATATTTCTGAAAGCAACCAAAAAAATGGTTCTGTTAGGAGTGGTGTTTTTGGTAGTGTTGTATAATATTGCTGGAATATTTCTAAAAGCAGCATAAAAAATGGTTCTGTTAGGAGTGGTGTTTTTGGTGGTGTTGTATGATATTTCTGTTTTTTTTCTAAAAGCAGCATAAAAAATGGTTCTGTTAGGAGTGGTGTTTTTGGTGGTGTTGTATGATATTGCTGGAATATTTCTAAAAGCAGCATAAAAAATGGCTCTGTTAGGGGTGGGGTTTTGGGGCTGTTGTTTGATATTGCCGGAATATTTTTAAAAGCAGCACGTCCAAAAGACATTAAAAGATGGTACTTAATGTTACCCTGTCTGGCGCTCAGCATTAAGGGGCTAAAACAAGGACTGGTCAGCCGGGAGTCAGTATACTGTGTCTGAGTTGGGTATATATGTAAAACTGTGGCATGGTATTTCAGTAGGCTAGCACTATAAAATTAGCATTAGTCCAGGCTAATACAAGCAGCCACACACACACACACACACACACACACACACACACACACACACACACACACACACACACACACACACACACACACACACACACACACACACTCACACACAGCTATAGTAACATGACAATAAACCCTATTTCACTGTGCTCACCTCACCTTGTCCTGGGCTCTTTGGAATGATTATCACTTTAGGGGTGTACTCTTCAGGACATCCTCCCAAGGCAAGGGAGTTAACTGACTGTAACATTCTACTTACCCTTGCCAAACTGGGCTGCAATTTCGAATACACTATGAGGCAAATACGATTCGTATCATGAATATAGGGTAGCAAATACAAATATTAATTCATGAATACAATAACAAGTCAGCAGTTGATGTATTATTTGTTATATTCAGCATGTTCAGTGAGGCAACAACAACATGAATTATTTGACATGGTTTGTTAATCATTAATATATTATTAATATATTATTCATTTATATACTGCACTTATCCAGGTGCTAGTATCTGCTCAAATGTGACAATGACCAGTGACCACAATACTGTCAAATTAAATAGTATAAGAGTGTTGTCTTTTGAGGAAATCTATGCATACAATATGTTCTTATGGGTATTTTTATTCATAAATATTTGATCAAGTGGCCACTAATAACGAATTCAATTCATGAATGGATACGGTTCGATTCACTGAATACGCGAGTGAATTGTAACAGCTCTAGTGCCCAGACAGGTGAAAGTTCAATTCGGGCAAGTGGAATTTGCTGTCAGTTGGGAAGTGTATAATTGCTGGTTGTTCTCAAAGCCATGTAACACTCACTCACTAACCCTGGCATTTGTAAGGAGAATTGGAAGCTGCTTGTTTGAATGTTGTTGTTGTGTTTCTATGACTTTTCTCTTTGCATGCTATGTGAGAGCAATATGACCTGTCACTGAGCAACAGAAGTGTGTGAGTGTTAGGTCCTCGTATCCTTGTTGGATGCATTAACACAATTCACTGTTTGTACAAGTGTTATTGTAGTGTAATGCGCCGGATGTTTGAACATAATAACAGTACAGCTGTCACTCCATAGTTCGTTCTTCTATGACATGTCTCACGTTTCACATGAAAATTGAACAGCAAGTGTTAAATTCACCTCATTAACAATTGCTGTAGGAGATACAGAGAGAGGATAATGCTGCTGCTTGATGACATGGTTTGTTTTGTGTAGGGTGGCAGTGTTTGACTTCCCTGTTTTGATTCAGGGAGTGTTCATTGTGGAAGCTGCATGGAGGTAGAGTTGCTTGTGTAGCCTGTCTAGCAAGGTGTATCTAGCTGGGGTTCAGGGAGTGTTCATTGTGGAAGCTGCATGGAGGTACAGTTGCTTGGATAGCCTGTCTAGCCAGGTGTATCTAGCCGTGGTTCAGGGAGTGTTCATTGTGGAAGCTGCATGGAGGTAGAGTTGCTTGGGTAGCCTGTCTAGCCAGGTGTATCTAGCTGTGGTTCAGGGAGTGTTCATTGTGGAAGCTGCATGGAGGTACAGTTGCTTGGGTAGCCTGTCTAGCCAGGTGTTTCTAGCCGTGGTTCAGGGAGTGTTCATTGTGGAAGCTGCATGGAGGTACAGTTGCTTGGATAGCCTGTCTAGCCAGGTGTATCTAGCTGGGGTTCAGGGAGTGTTCATTGTGGAAGATTCATGGAGGTAGAGTTGCTTGGGTAGCCTGTCTAGCCAGGTGTATCTAGCTGGGGTTCAGGGAGTGTTCATTGTGGAAGCTGCATGGAGGTGGAGTTGCTTGGGTAGCCTGTCTAGCTAGGTGTATCTAGCCGTGGTTCAGGGAGTGTTCATTGTGGAAGCTGCATGGAGGTAGAGTTGCTTGGGTAGCCTGTCTAGCCAGGTGTATCTAGCTGGGGTTCAGGGAGTGTTCATTGTGGAAGCTGCATGGAGGTAGAGTTGCTTGGGTAGCCTGTCTAGCCAGGTGTATCTAGCTGGGTTTCAGGGAGTGTTCATTGTGGAAGCTGCATGGAGGTACAGTTGCTTGGATAGCCTGTCTAGCCAGGTGTATCTAGCTGTGGTTCAGGGAGTGTTCATTGTGGAAGCTGCATGGAGGTAGAGTTGCTTGGGTAGCCTGTCTAGCCAGGTGTATCTAGCTGTGGTTCAGGGAGTGTTCATTGTGGAAGCTGCATGGAGGTACAGTTGCTTGGATAGCCTGTCTAGCCAGGTGTATCTAGCCGTGGTTCAGGGAGTGTTCATTGTGGAAGCTGCATGGAGGTACAGTTGCTTGGATAGCCTGTCTAGCCAGGTGTATCTAGCCGTGGTTCAGGGAGTGTTCATTGTGGAAGCTGCATGGAGGTACAGTTGCTTGGATAGCCTGTCTAGCCAGGTGTATCTAGCTGGGGTTCAGGGAGTGTTCATTGTGGAAGATGCATGGAAGTACAGTTGTTGGGGTCAGCCAGGTCTGGTTCAGGGAGTGTTCATTGTGGGGAGCTGCAGCAGGTATAGTTATTGGAGTGGCCTGTCTAGCCAGGTGTTTCTAGATGTGGTATGTCAAATTAATCAGCCGAGTATAGTAAATGTGTATATCCACCAGGATTATCAAGTATTCGGCCTTGTATAGTAAATGTGTATATCCACCAGGAAATGTGTATATTCACCAGGAATGTCAAGTATTCGGCCTAGTATAGTAAATGTGTATATCCACCAGGAATGTCAAGTATTCCGGCTAGTATAGTAAATGTGTATATCCACCAGGAATGTCAAGTATTCGGCCTAGTATAATAAATGTGTATATCCACTAGGAATGTCAAGTATTCCGGCTTGTATAGTAAATGTGTATATCCACCAGGAATGTCAAGTATTCCGGCTTGTATAGTAAATGTGTATATCCACCAGGAATGTCAAGTATTCCGGCTAGTATAGTAAATGTGTATATCCACCAGGAATGTCAAGTATTCCGGCTTGTATAATAAATGTGTATACCCACCAGGAATGTCAAGTATTCCGGCTTGTATAGTAAATGTGTATATCCACCAGGAATGTCAAGTATTCCGGCTTGTATAGTAAATGTGTATATCCACCAGGAATGTCAAGTATTCCGGCTGGTATAGTAAATGTGTATATCCACCAGGAATGTCAAGTATTCCGGCTGGTATAGTAAATGTGTATATCCACCAGGAATGTCAAGTATTCCGGCTTGTATAGTAAATGTGTATATCCACCAGGAATGTCAAGTGTTCCGGCTAGTATAGTAAATGTGTATATCCACCAGGAATGTCAAGTGTTCTGGCTAGTATAGTAAATGTGTATATCCACCAGGAATGTCAAGTGTTCCGGCTAGTATAGTAAATGTGTATATCCAGCCTGGTGTTTTTGACTTGTATGTAACCAGCTTGTGTAGTCAAGCCTTTGTACCGTCATGGTCGCTGCTCACAGCTGGAGCATCACCTGTCTGGACCTGATGCTGACAGAAGCTGTCAACCTTGTCTCATACATCACTAACCATTGCTAACTGAAGACTTTGAATTTGTTTTCACAGAAATCATGGCTGTGAACGTAGAGAGTTGACACCTGAGTGGGATTGTTATGACAGACGAGGATGTGAGGCGAGCTGACACTGATACGGATGTGTAGGACCTTTCCGAGCAGTGTAGCTAGGGCAGTGTAGCTAGGACAGTGTAGCTAGGACAGTGTTGGACAGTGTTGGACAGAGCTGTCACAGCCCAGGTGTTACATGGTGTATATACACTATTAAAATCAAGTCAACTGTGACTGGTGTTCATTACATGTACCAGTGTACGATATCAGGAGGACAGTGTTGGACAGAGCTGTCACAGCTCATGTGTTACATGGTGTTTATACACTGTTAGAATCAAGTCAACTGTGACTGGTGTTCATTACATGTACCAGTGTACGATATCAGTAGGACAGTGTTGGACAGTGTTGGACAGTGTTGGACAGAGCTGTCACAGCTCATGTGTTACATGGTGTATACACTATTAAAATCAAGTCAACTGTGACTGGTGTTCATTACATGTACCAGTGTACGATATCAGGAGGAAGTGCTTTTGTGTACATGGTGTAAAACAATGTGACAACCCCTAGATCTGTTTTGTTGATGAAAGTCAACAGACCGTTGTGGTCTTGTTGATAGCTGTTCACAACAGGTATTCACGATAGGTACTCACGATAGGTAACTGGACTACAATAGATTCAGATGAGGAGTTACTTTCCTTACATTCGGAATGAATGTGTTTGGATTTTCCATTGTTGATAATAAATAATGACTATAAAGCAGCAAACATGGTAAATGTACATTACTATCAATGAAAAAACCCATTGCTCTATAAGCTCTTTCAAGCAGAACTGTGTTAACTGTGCTTTGTGATAACAGTTTGCTTGTGACGATAACACCATGGAGTACACTGTTATGGTGAACTGTTCATTGTGTGTGTGTGCAGACTGACGCTTGAAAAGCCGACCACACTGTTCCTGTGTGGTTAATATTCTTCCTTCTTCCGGGCAATGCATGTAAATTTGTTGTTGACGACGATGCTGTCAGTGGCGGAGCATGGATGACAACAACAACACCATCTACAGGTTAGTTGTGGAGACGCCCCGGGTGGAAAGTTAATGGAACGTTTATCAGTAATGAAAACATCTGGTCAGCCATGCCGTAGGTAAGTACCAGCTGACACTTGGTCTGACCTAGCTATCTGTGTGGGGACAGCTTGGCTTTATGGAGTGGAGCTTGTGTGTCACACCTGACTGGTGATGGGGGGTAATGCTGAAGGGATTGTTGTGGTACTACACATATGTACCCAGGTTACCTTTCTGTAAGCTTATTTATTAACAAGAAAACATTCATGTACCCTTTATAATGAACCTTGGCAATGTCAGCTGAAGGGTTGTTGTATAGAGGAATATTTATGTACCCCAGGTACAACTGTACCTGGGTACTTTTCTGTAAACTGGAGGCTGAGGGCTGTTGTAGAAATGACTACACAACTGTACCTGGGTACCTTTCTGTAAACTGTGGGTTGAAGAGTTGTAGAAATGACTACACAACTGTACCTGGGTACCTTTCTGTAAACTGTGGGTAGAAGGGTTGGAGAGTGATCTACACAAATGTACTCAGGAACCTTTCTGTAAACTGTGGGTTGAAGGGTTGGAGAGTGATCAACACAAATGTACTCAGGAACCTTTCTGTAAACTGTGGGTTGAAGGGTTGAAGGGTTGAGGCGTTAAAGCGTGATCTACACAAATGTACCTCAGCCTGGCAATCATTGTTTACAATAGTTCAGCATACAGTTATAGGTTTTCATGAAATCTTTTGGAGTGCCTGTAGTCTTTTCACTTTGATGAAAGATGAATGCTGATATTAATGCTACATCTTGAATGTTATTTGCCAACAAAGAAGTACACAGTTTACTATACAACTAAATATGCAAACTGCAAAACTTTGTAAATATGTACAGAGTTTGTTTCAATTTTCCATTGCTTTCATTGTTTGCAAAGAGGCGCATGGCAGTGTGAAAGTCAACTGAATGCATAGTCAAAAGATAATTTAAGATAAAGTCATCCATTGTCACAAAGATTTATGTGATGTTCCTGCAACAGTGAAGGAGCTGAAGTCTCTACCTAACATCAGGAAACCCACTTAATTCTTGGGAATCCTCTACCTCTATTACATCTTTGCCATAAATCCTGTATTTTGGCTTCTGTCACACTAACTGAATTTTCAGATTTTCAACAGATGTCCTCTTCACTGTCAATCACACACAATTAGTTGTTCCCGAATAGCACTATAGCCACACAAGCTGTGACATGCGTAATGGCGAGAAACATCACTTCTTTCTTTTGTGTGTGTGCTAGAGTCAGCACCTATTGTTATAGTTATCATGATATAACATTTATACTAAGTTTTCCTATAATTATTAGATCCACATCAAGTGCTTTTATGAGTTATCATGGTGTAATATTTATACATCATAACTCTTGTCTTATTGAATAGTATGTCTAGGAGATGCGCTCCCATTACCTTAGGCTAGCATCTATCTAAAAAGCTATAACTGAAACTACTGATATTTTATATATGCATTTTACCTGACGATAAGTATTACTTGCTAAACTTTAATTATATGAAATGATGTATAAATATTACACCATGATAACTCATTAAAGCACTTGATGTGGATCGATCTAGCACTTGGTTTAGTCACATTTAATCTAAGATTGTTCTATGGTTTTCAAATAAAACAGATTAAGTCATATTAATAATTGAAGATGAAGTCATCCATTGTTGTTGATGTCACAAGGATGTGATGTTCCTGCTTCAGTGACTGAGCTGAAGTCTTTTCTTGACATCAGGAAACCCAATTTTTTATATATTTTCTCAAGGAAAAGACGTTTGGTAATGTAATAGATAACTTACTTGCGACTAGGAATTTTGGATCATCTGTGCTTCGTGAATTAATGTTGAAAAATCAGACTTAAAATTAATTCACTCGGGGAGGGATAATTATAATTCCGAGGACTTTGTAGGCTATTCTCTAACTGTTTCATAGTTATTGGGCAACAAACCATATAACATTGAACTTGTTGAAGACATTTTTTGTTTGTTTTCTAATGGCGTCGGCCATTGCCTGAGGTTTTGCGGCTTTGTATGTTTTCTATTATCAGTGCCATATGAAGTCTTTGATTGACGTTTAAGACTGAGTGGAACAGGAGGACGGTGAGGTAGCCTCATGGTTTAAGGTTTCGGTCGTTGCGTCGAAAATCTTGTCTTGATTCCCCACATGGGTACAGTGTGTGAAGCCTATTTCTGGTGTCCATCACCTTGATATGTTGTCTGAAATATTGCTTGTACTTGTAGAACGAGAAGTGCCATACACATATACTGCTAGAACGTGAACACATGAAACTTGAAGGTTGTTCCGTCTGCAGGTCGTAAGTCTCGGATACCGTGGAGAACTCATCCTTCCTCTCTGTCATCTCTAATTACAATGTGCTAAAGAATTGCAAGGTTCGGGGAAATTCCCAGTTGTGGCAAGCTAGATTTCAATCATTTAAAATCCTCGTTCATCTGCTAACTCTATTCTTATTATTCCCTATAACACAGTTTTGTGTACAGTAACTATGTTTATAACGACCACGCTAAAAATGAACTGACGGATGTAACAAACTTTTTTTTCATCCTTTCCATTTGCTGTATATATAATTATAACGAACTATGATTATAACAACTAAAATGGGTGGTCCCTTTGAGTTCGTTTCAACCATACTTTACTGTACTTGAGATTTCACAAATCCCTGCAGAGCAATACACAATGTGTTTCATGCTGTGAAATTAAGACTGGTTCCTGGTCATATCTGCACTGCATCACCATGGAGACTGACCAATTTCTGATTAGTATATCCTGGTGTGCATCCGCTTATCTAACGCAGTATAGGAAGTGAATGTCGTATGTTGGAATATGTGTTTGTAAATAGGGGGTACGGATGGCGCATTCGTGTCGTGGCAATTGTGTCTCTCAGGCTTGTGTTTCTAAATAGGGGGTACGGATGGCGCAGTCGTGTTGTGCCAATTGTGTCTCTTAGGCGTGCAATATGTGTTTGTAAATAGGGGGTACGGATGGCAGAGTCATGCCGTGCCAATTCTGACTCTTAGGCGTGCAGTATGTGTTTGTAAATAGGGGGTACGGATGGCACAGACGTGCCGTGCCAATTCTGACTCTTAGGTGTGCAATATGTGTTTGTAAATAGGGGTTACGGATGGCACAGTCATGCCGTGCCAATTCTGACTCTTAGGCATGCAATATGTGCTTGTAAATAGGGGGTACGGATGGCACAGTCGTGTCCTGGCAATTGTGTCTCTTAGGCGTGCAATATGTGTTTGTAAATAGGGGGTACGGATGGCACAGTCATGCCGTGCCAATTCTGACTCTTAGGCATGCAATATGTGTTTGTAAATAGGCGGTACGGATGGCACATTCGTGTCGTGCCAATTGTGTCTCTTAGGCGTGCAATATGTGTTTGTAAATAGGGGGTACGGATGGCACGATCATGTCGTGCGAATTGTGTCTCTTAGGCGTGCAATATGTGTTTGTAAATAGGGGGTACGGATGGCACGATCATGTCGTGCGAATTGTGTCTCTTAGGCGTGCAATATGTGTTTGTAAATAGGGGGTACGGATGGCACAATCATGTCGTGCGAATTGTGTCTCTTAGGCATGCAAGAAAGCTATGATCATGGGTTCAAATCCCAGCTTTCCTAATTATTGTTTTCGGTTTGTCAGCACCCTTGCTCCCTGGTACCTCCCAGTGGAAGATGTCTAACGGAAGATTTCTCCCACATCAAGCTCACACACTGTAATGTAACTGGAGTCTTGTTTAGTGTAGTGTTTCACCATTTCACAGCCGTCAAGATCCAGGCTAGAATAGGTCTTCAGCAACCCATGCTTGCTGTTAAAGGCGACTTACTATGCTTTTCGTAAGAGGAGACTAATATGCACGGGTGGTCAGGCTCCCTGACTTGGTTAATACATGTCATCGGTCCCAATTGCGTGGATCGATGCTCATATCAATCACTGGATTGTCTGGTCCATATTTACAGACCGCTGTCATACAGCTGGAATATTGCTGAGTGCGGCGTTAAACAACAAACCAACCAGCCAACCAACTCACACACAGATTATATCAACATACCACATTTTGCCAGCCTATTACACATGCATTATGACGGGGTAGAATATGTTTTCAGCAACCCATGCTTGCCCTAAAAAGCTGACTGCTTGTCGTAAGAGGCGACTAACGGGATCGGGTAGGCAGGCTCGCTGACTAAGTTGATGCATGTCATCGGAACCCAATTGCATTAATTGATGCTGATGATGTCAATCACATGATTGCTAGGTTCCAGACAGCCGTCATTCAGCTGGAATATTGCTGAGTGCAGTGTTAAACAACAAACAAACAAACCATGCATTATTCAGCAGTGGCTCCGTCACGTTGCTTGTGAGATCTAGTGGAGAAACTGCTTTCCAGTTTGCCATTGGTCAGTTTACAGAAGCTGTAACATGACATTTAAGCGTCTAATCCGACACAAATTTTCATTTTATGTTTTGTCACCCCTGTCGCTATGTCCCAGTAAAATGTTGTTTGCCCATTTTTGTGTTGTAAGTGATTACAGGGTATGTGGCAGCTCCAAATTGTAGTGGGCTGTCAGACAAACTGACGGGCTAATGGACAGACCATGCAGACAGGCAGTGTGTTTTATTCTTATGTCGATCATGTTTATGACTATGCAGTAGTGACTGGAAGAAAAATGCTGTTCCTTCTGAATTGATGCCAGACTGACTTAGATCTTTACGTTTAGATACAGTAGACTGCCTCCATGTTCTAGTGGATAGAGTGTCTTTGGCCCCGTTCCACAAAGTGATCTTAGCGCTTAGGTGATCGTAACTGCCATACCTTGACATAGACTTACGACAGCCGTAGCGCTTTGTTGGTTTTGTAGAATGACACCCTGGGTCCTGTTCCACATAGCGATCTTAGCGCAAAGGTGACCGAAACTCCCATTCCATAACATAGACTTATGACATAGCGATTGTAACTCCCATACCTGGACATAGACTTACGACAGTCATAGCGCAAAGGTTGTTTTGTTCGATGGCACCCTGGGCCCCGTTCCAGAAAGCTATCTTAACGCTACGACCACTGTAAGCCTGTGTTAAAGTATGGAAGTTAAGATCATCTTAGTGCTAAGATGGCTTAGTAAAATAGGGTCCTGGAGAGTGATGTTCAGCCATGTCATACCAAAAGATGTTAAAATATGGTACTTGTTGTTGACCTGCCTGGTGCTAGGCATTTAGGGGATCATACAAGGACAGGTTGACTTGGCACAGTGTCTGAGTTGGATATCCACGTTGTCATGGTGTCTCAGATGGCTAGCACTCTAAAACGGGCATTCGTCCAGACTAGTAAACACACATACACACACACATGCATGCACACGGCTACATATATGTGCAACAATCTTGAATGTGATGTTTAACCCCACCTCATCTCATCATATGTACAGGAAAAGAGGGAAAAGTGTAAAATGTTATGCTGTGGCTTAATTCACACAGTATTCCACTTCCTGGTTGGCTGATGTTTCAAGCAAGGACGGTTCAATGGTTAAGACTAGTGATAGTATACCTGTTATTAGCTGTTATAACTTAAGATAAGGACAAGTGCACACTTAAGGTAAGCCTAGTTGTTAAAGCGTTCGCTTGGCATGTCCATTTCCGGTGTCCGTCGGGAATATTGCTAAACATGCTAAACGCGGTTTAAAAAAATTCTTACTCACTCACTTAAGGTAAAGACTAGCACACTTGAGAAAAGGACAAGCGTACTCTTAAAATAAGGACAAACACACACTTAAGGTAAGGACAAACACACGCTTAAGGTAAGGACAAACACTTAAGAACAGGACAAGCACACACTTAGTACAAACACACACTTAAGGTATGGACAAAAACATGCTTAAAGTAAGGACAAACACATGCTTAAAGTAAGGACAAACACGCTTAAAGTAAGGACAAACACATGCTTAAAGTAAAGACAAACACACGCTTAAAGTAAGGACAAACACTTAAGATAAGGACAATCACACACTTAAGGTAAGGACAAACACTCTTAAAACAATAAGGAGAGGTCTACATTAAAGATTACAAGAGTTGCAAAAAGCAACAGAACAATATGTATCAACAACTCTTGTCATGGCCACTGGTCTGAGAATAGACTTGGACTACCAGTTTTCTCCCAAACCCATGAACTAAGATAACAAAGAGTCCAGACTGACTGGATTTACCCTAAAGAACAGCATTGGAGTGACATGTCTGCAGAATGATGACTTTCATCACAGTCATAGTGTTCTTTCAATAAATGACGTGCTTATTTTATTGAATCATTTTTACCCTAGTGCAATTTATTCTAGTTTTCAATGTGTTGTTTCTTCAGAACCATTCCCGACCCGGGTTGTCAGAAGTTGAAGTGGCACAAACCTCCTCTCTCTGTCCTGGTGGTCAGGAAGATGTTCGATGAATCCATTATCATTCCATTCAAAGACCTCATTGTCTGGCTTATAGAGGTGAGACAAATTGCAAATATCAGAATATGACTGATCCAAAACCTGTTTTCAATAACTGACAATTTGTTTGGTTGTATTTTGTTGGCCTTCAGCAGGGATAGTTCTAGGGTGGATCTTTGTGCTTTTAGCCCCTAGATTTGAAAAAAGGCCCACATTTTCAAATACATTGGGGCACTTTAACATTGAGCTGTATGGGCAGGTGTGGGTGTACCTCTGGAATATTTGAAATTTCACATAAAGGTCCCATGTCAGAAAGTTCCAAGTGTGAACCGTGCTTCTGCAAGGATGACCCTTAACTGTTGTTTCACAGACTCTCACTGTGCTGACTGACTTGTTTCAGGAGAAGAGCATGGTGGTGTACGTAGAAGAGAAGGTTCTGGAAGATACGAGTAAACTGTTCCGAACGGACAGCCAGGATCTTCTGTCCAAAATACAGACATTCAAAGAAGGTAAGTCATTGTACAACAATCACATGATATGTTGATTTGTTTGGCATGCTCAGCAATAGAAACTGGCAGTTTTAGTCTACTAGTCCTTATAATGAGAACATAGAATAACCCTTAAAATAATAATATTTACTGGTCCTTATGATACCTTAACTCTTGAGCAGTTTGGCAAGGACTACAGGACTAGTGCCAATTTCTAACGCTGCATGCTTCTTTGACGTATGGACCGCCTCTGTGGTCTAATGGTTGAGCGTCCGCCCGAGAGCGGAAGGTCCGGGGTTTGATCCCCAGCCTCATCATACCAAAAGACGTTAAAAGATGGTACTTGTTGTTACTCTGTCTGGCGCTCGGCATTAAGGGGCTAAAACAAGGATTGGTCGGCTCGGAGTCAGTATACTGTGTCTGAGTGGGGTATTCATGTTAAACTGCGGCATGGTATCTCAGTGTGCTAGCACTATAAATTGACATCAGTCCCGACTAGTACAAGCAGCCACACAAACACACACACGTACATGCACGTTGCTATATAAGTGCAATAATCTTGGACGTGACATTAAACCCCATTTCACCTCACCTCATATGCTTCAAACAGCAGCGACAGTGATTGTGAAGTTTAACATTTAACTCTTTCCCGTCTTGACCGTGTTTATACTTCTGTCAGTGTAGTTCCCTGCTTCTGAAGAATTAGTCATGTATACATGCCTAATAAGACAAGTGATGTTGCTTGTAGGTGAGGAAGATCTTACAGACAAGATCGACTTCATCGTGTGCCTCGGTGGTGATGGGACACTGCTCTATGCTTCGTCTTTATTTCAGGTAAGTTGATGATGATGTAGGGATCACAGCAAGCTGGGCACTGGCCTGGGTCTCTTTGCACAAAGTTATGTTAGTGCTACGATCATCAACAGTTTCGTACTTTATAAGCTCCAGGAAGTGTTCGTGCTGCGATCGTTTTGTTGGAGGGGACCCTGGGAAATAAGGGCAACATATTTGTAGCTTTTCATAGAATTGGTTAGTTTCAGCTTTAGCCTGTTGAATTGTTTTGACACTTCTTAGCCCTGCCTGCTGGATTTTGTTTTGTGCTGTAAAGAGGGTGGGTTATTTCAAGCAGTGGATTCAACAGGAGCATTGAGAGCTTTGAGGAAGGTAGTATAGATTGAGCTGTACTGTAGAGAGCAGCTGTTCAGTGTCAGCATCTGTTTGTTGTGGGAGAAAGAAATGAACCATGATGTTGTCACATATGTGGAAGGCAACAGCAGGACAAGGGAGATAACTCTTCAGTCCATGTCGTCAATGCCCAGGACTATCTGAAGAGTGAATCTCTCTCAATGCATGCATTTCCAACCTGGTGAAGATACAGGTTGTAAGATACAAAATCCGTACGTCACACGTGTCAACATCCTAAATGTGAACAATAACACTCCCTATTGATCTCTTGTGTAAAACACTGTGAGTAGATCACGGTTGTCTTTTCGTATTCGGGTGGTGACCTTGCCCTTTGTTTGAAGCTGTCACTAGCATGTAAGGAGATTTGAGTTTGTTTATTTTTTTCATGTCTTCAATGTAGGGTGGTACAGTTAACATAAACGTCTTTTGCAAACACTCTGATTTCCCTCTTCCTAAACGGTACAAGCAGGAAATAAATTCGGCTGATAGCTCAAGGAAACCAAACCATTTTGAATACACAGCCGGGACCCCATCGGTGAGAGTGTTGGTCCGAGATTTAAAGTGTTGTGTTAATTGACCTTTTTAAGTTTTCTTACAGTTGTCCTGCGCACTAACCGCAATGGGCTTGAATGACCATAGTTGCAACCGGTCTTTGTTTGGTGTGTTTACAAATGAAAGTTGTTTTGTATTTACACTTCCTTACATATTTTACATGGTTAATAAATAAAATACCTCACTCATTCTAGTTTGATACAATTTTTTAAAACTCGCTTTCGCACGGTCACATACCTTAGAAAGTCCACTCATTTAAAACAAATGGTATCTAACGAGAATGAGTGTAGTATTCTCTATAAACCGATCTGAAGGGTGAATCTAAGAGATGTGAGACTCTCTCCCTCCCTCCCTCCCTCCTTCCTTCCTTCCTTCCTTCCTTCCTTCCTTCCATTTAGCTCACCTGCAGAAATGATTCTCAAGCTATGGTTTCTAAAACCTGTTCACAGAATTCCAACTGAACTTTAAACAAAGACACTATTGTTACTTCATTTGGTGAGCTACAGAGGTTTGTGGCTTTATTTTTCAAATGTTATATTTAATCGTCAGTTTATTTTTTCTTCCCCAAAATTGTGTACATCAAAGGGAAGACTTTGTAAATTTTCTTCCACATCATCAAGACAATGTTGAGGAATAATTACATGTGTTGTCTATAAAGTACATGGAAACTTCATTGAAAGTGGACAGCAGTCGTGACTGTAGATAATTGGGCTTCCTGACTATGTCTCGTTTGCTCCAAGTTGGAATCCCCAAATGGTTATAATGTGCAGACATTTCTGGTGTCCCCCGTGATATTACTGGAATATTTCCTTTGATAGGCATTTAGAAGTTGGAGTGCTAAGTAAGGATAAGAATTTATGGATGAACAACTTCTTTATTACGTCGAGCGACGTTTCGGTGTAGGTTCTAACACCATTATCAAGCAAATGACAGATGTTGTGAGCCTGTCTTGCTAGGGTTGAAACAATTCCTTTCTTGACTTGAGGTGGATGGTTGGAGGCATAGTGTATGTATTGATCTGTGTGGGTGGGTTTCCGATAAACAGTGGTCTGGAGTTTGTCGTTATTATCTTTCTGTACGAGCACATCAAGGAAGGGGAGCTGTCGATTTGTTTCTTCCTCCATGGTGAACTGCATTCGTGGGTTTTGGGAATTCAGGTGGTCCAGTAGAGTTCTGGGGTAACTTGCTTTATAATGGTATTAGAATCTACACCAAAACGTTGCTCTTAATTGTAATAAAGAAGTTGTTCATCCATAAATTCTTATCCTTGCTTACTTGAATATTACAAAATTCGGTGTAAGACCACACCCAACTCCATGGACAACAATCAAATCCATTCGAAAAGTTGATTTAAAATCCATTTGAAGAAAAGTAGTTGTAGTTGTCAGGATTTGGGTGAACATGGACTTCAGGTTGGCTTGTCTGTGCCTTATGAGTTCTGTTTGTGGAAATTACCTCCCCTTGATTTAACGAGACACCTGCCAACATGAAGTCGTACATGACGTGATTTAGTTATTATGATGTCGAGTGCTGTGTGTAGTGTGTGGTTGTCTCCCCAGCAAAGTGTTCCTCCTGTGATGGCCTTCAACATGGGATCCCTCGGCTTCCTCACTCCATTCCACTTCTGCAACTTCCAGGAACAAGTCACCAGTGTTTTACAAGGTAATTAAGATATGTAGACATTGTTTTTCAGGGTGATAGGGAAACAGGTCACTAGTGTTTTACAAGGTAATTAAGATATGAAGACATAGTTTCTGAGTGATAGGGAAATAGGTCACTAGTGTTTTACAAGGTAATTAAGATATGAAGACATAGTTTCTGAGTGATAGGGAAACAGGTCACCAGTGTTTTACAAGGTACGATAGATAGACATTATTTCTGAGTGATAGGGAAAGAAGTCGTCACTGTTTTACAAGGTACGATATATAGACATTATTTCTGAGTGATAGGGAAAGAAGTCACCAGTGTTTTACAAGGTACGATACATAGACATTGTTTGTGAGTGATAGGGAAAGAAGTCACCAGTGTTTTACAAGGTACGATACATAGACATTGTTTGTGAGTGATAGGGAAAGAAGTCACCAGTGTTTTACATGGTACGATATATAGACATTGTTTCTGAGTGATAGGGAAAGCAGTCACCAGTGTTTTACAAGGTACGATATATAGACATTGTTTCTGAGTGATAGGGAAAGAAGTCACCAGTGTTTTACAAGGTACGATATATAGACATTGTTTGTGAGTGATAGGGAAAGAAGTCACCAGTGTTTTACAAGGTACGATACATAGACATTGTTTCTGAGTGATAGGGAAAGAAGTCACCAGTGTTTTACAAGGTACGATATGTAGACATTGTTTCAGAGTGATAGGGAAAGAAGTCACCAGTGTTTTACAAGGTACGATACATAGACATTGTTTGTGAGTGATAGGGAAAGAAGTCACCAGTGTTTTACAAGGTACGATATATAGACATTGTTTCTGAGTGATAGGGAAAGAAGTCACCAGTGTTTTACATGGTACGATATATAGACATTGTTTGTGAGTGATAGGGAAAGAAGTCACCAGTGTTTTACAAGGTACGATATATAGACATTGTTTCTGAGTGATAGGGAAAGAAGTCACCAGTGTTTTACAAGGTACGATATATAGACATTGTTTCTGAGTGATAGGGAAAGAAGTCACCAGTGTTTTACAAGGTACGATACATAGACATTGTTTCTGAGTGATAGGGAAAGAAGTCACCAGTGTTTTACAAGGTACGATATATAGACATAGTTTCTGAGTGGTAGGGAAAGAAGTCACCAGTGTTTTACAAGGTACGATATATAGACATTGTTTCTGAGTGATAGGGAAAGAAGTCACCAGTGTTTTACAAGGTACGATATATAGACATTGTTTGTGAGTGAAAGGGAAAGAAGTCACCAGTGTTTTACATGGTACGATACATAGACATTGTTTGTGAGTGATAGGGAAAGAAGTCACCAGTGTTTTACAAGGTACGATGTATAGACATTGTTTGTGAGTGATAGGGAAAGAAGCCACCAGTGTTTTACAAGGTACGATATGTAGACGTTGTTTCAGTGTAATAGGGAAAGAAGTCACCAGTGTTTTACAAGGTACGATACATAGACATTGTTTCCGAGTGATAGGGAAAGAAGTCACCAGTGTTTTACAAGGTACAATATATATAGTCTATCAGCCTGGCAAAATTTCGGTACCAAACAGGGGGCAAATTGTGACCGGTTTAAAATTGAAGGTAATGCTATCTATATGTAGAATAAATATGATAGCATTTGAAATCGAGTAGCTTTGCATGTTTTTTTAAGTTCTTTTGAAGGTCTCCAAAGTTGGCACAGAAGAATGGCCAGTACAATATGTTGTCCGGTGAGTAGTATATAATTCACTTCTTTGTTTACTTCCTGTCTTGGTGATTTGACCATAGCAACAGTAATTAATGAACATAAGTGATCATATTTCAACCTATCAGGGGTAAGTTGCCGTTTTGGCTGTTGCATATACTACTATACATCTTACCAATAAAAAAGGGAGCCAAAAACTGCTTTGCAGACACAGTATATAAGTAAATGGCACCAAGTGGTGCCAAACGTTTTTTTTATCAATGACTGTCAGTCAACAGGTCATAAAATTGTAATTTTTATTTCATCAAAGTTGTAGGGTACACTGTAGAAGTGTTGACTCTTAACTAATGTTATGAAACAATTCAATAAAAAAGTTAATGGCATCAATAGCATCTCTGAATTTGGTAATGATGATGTAATGATGATGTAGTAATGATGTAATGGTACATAGCACTTACTTACAACTAATTATCATTACTATCTTATTTTAACCTTTATTTGAACTATTGTTGGAAAATTATTTTTTTTCTGCATAATTATTACATTTTCCAATAAAATGTTAAAACACATGTTAATTTGAATGTAATTGATTATATTTATATATTATATGATGATAAAATTCCCAAAATGAGAAAATTAAATTTTCTCATTCACAGACCTAAAAATGAAAGATGCCTACTTTTGAATTTAGAAATTGATAAATAGAAAATCTACAGATAACAACTGCAATTAATGAAGGTTGTTTCAATTCACATACAACTATCCTTAGATGTAAAATATTAAAACACATGTTAATTTGAATGTAATTGATTATTTCTTTTATGATATGATAAAATTCCCAAAATGAGAAAATGAAAATTATTCTCATACCTAAAAATGAATGATGCCTATTTTTGAATTAAGAAACAGAAAATCTACAAAAAACAACTGCAAATAATGAAGATTGTTTCAGTTCACATACTAGTATCCTTACATGTTAAATTTATTTAAAATTATTAGTCATTCATACTAAACACATGATCTATTCACAATTATACAGTATACATTAAACATATTTTGTAATGTTTTGTTTCATTATCTTACAGATTACAAATTCATTCTTCAACCATGAATTAAACACCAAGTTGCCATTTGTATTACTACTACTTCTAATGGACAAATATGAAGATGGGACAAGTGCTGATAGTTGTAGTGACTGCAATATGGAAGACATTGTCACCGATGAACCGCCATACAAAATGCCCAGGAGTAGTACATCCTGCATCATTCACTATGAAGGTGAAGATATGGAAAGCCACTTGGTTCAACCTAATAGCTTTGAATCGTGGGAAGCTCTGCTGAAAGCAGCACAAATACGAAATCACAAACCACTTCTGGAGTTTGCAAAGAGTACATCTGAGATACCAAACATTTTCTACCATCGGAAATGTCGTTGTAGATTTACAATAAAACGGGAATTACAGTCACTACAGTCAAGCAAAACAGAAGAAGGTAGCCATGCTTGTGTTGAAAACCGGAGATCGAACAGGCAATCACCAACTTCATCAAGGGTTTGTGAAAAGCAATGCTTATTTTGCCGGAAGGTTAAGTATAAGAAGGGCCAGAAAAGTCGAGAACTCCTTATACAGTGTGTTGATCTCCGTGCAGATAGGAGAGTACGGGACATGGCCATAAAAAAACAAGATGTAGCAGTACTACGTTTTGTAGCACGTGATATTGTTGCAGCAGAGGCTCACTACCATCGCTCATGTTATAAAAAGTACACAAGGGCACCTGACTGCACTCCCTGTTCTATTCCAGAAGTTGATGAACATGACATCCAGTACCAGGAAGCAGAAGCTGATGCATATTTTCATCTGTTTAGCTATATCAGAAACACCCTGTTTTCAAACCCAAAGGCTGTTAAAATGGTAGACCTCACAACAGTCCTGGTGGATCACATGAAGATGGCTGGAATAAGTAACATCAGGGAATCTACAAAGAAGCACATTCGGAGAAAACTTGAAGCTGAGTTCTGTCAAGCAATTCACATATTTCCAGATGATAAAGGCAAACTTCTTGTTATACCAGACAATGTGAGTATCTATGAACTTGCCAAGGAGAATATAAAACTTACAGATGATATTCATTCCAAGCAGAGTCAGTCATCAGAAGTCAAGGGGGTTATAACCTCTGCTGCCATATTGCTGCGCTCAAGGATCAAGGAGCAAGATGATGTTTTGGAATGGCCGCACTTACCAGAATCACTTAACATAGCTGCAATAAAACTGCCTTTGTCACTGAAACAATTTCCTTTTTGGGCTACTAACTGGTGACATTTCACCAAAGCAACCGTCAGAGAGGGTAACCTGGCTTGTCAACTCATTTGGACAGGACCTCCTCTATGCTGTGAGCTGTGGCAAGCAGAAACCACCAAAACACATCCTTTTGCCAGCTGTTGTCAAGAATCTCACTGGAAATGCCGAACTGATTCAAGCACTAAATAGACTCGGCCATGGGGTATCTTACTCACAGTGAAGATAATCCTTTTGGCAAAATTCCAGTCGACCAAGCCACTGAAGAGACCGTGAACAAGGACACCAAAGTGCCAGGAGGAATCAGGAAATACAGTTTGAAAGCAGGGGCTGTAACAAGATTCTACTTAACTGCTGAATACCGGAGTGCATTCCTTCAGAGACATGTTGGGACTAAACAGATGTGATCTGCATCATGCAGAACTCCAGTCACCAAGAATGCTGAAAGATGAACAAGCAGTGAAAACAGTTGTTGATACCATTGATTAATCCTTTTGATGGACATCAGGAAATAGTGAGCATGTCCACTGCAACAGCTGCTACTACAGAAATTGCCAATGACCTCCTTAGGGCAGAGAAAGTGGGTGAGAATGCCTATAAAAGATTTAGAGAAGAACGATTGGACAATGAATCACCAACAATCAAATTTCATGACAAATTGCCACAACACAAGCTACAAACCTTCACAAACATGTCAAAGAAGAAAACCAAAGTAAACTCATGTGGGAAAGATATCATCCTCGTGGCAGAAAGAAAACTTTTTGCACAGATGATTCTGATTGCACAGGCCAGAAAAGAGCTGCAGATGAAAACTGTTCTTTGCTATCCCCTTGGACCACTGCCATGGTCGCTCTCAACACCTGATGGTAAACCAAGGAAAACCAACAAAGCAGTACTGGCACGAGATTTGCAGAAGAGAGCATCTGTAGCTGAAAACATTCCACAGCCATCTACAACAATAATTGATGGCATGGCCCTTGTTCAAAAAATGAAGGGAGATCAGAAAACGTTTGGTCAAGTCGCAACTTTGATTCTGTCATCAGCCCTCAGAGAAGGAGCCCATAGTTCACGGATTGACATAGTATTTGATGTTTATCAGCATCACAGTATCAAGGAGGCAGAGAGACTGAATCGCTGTCAAGACAATGGTGTCCAGTACAAGAACATAGCATCAGCACACGTTGTTCGCCAATGGAGAAACTTCTTGTCAAGTACTGACAATAAGACCTCACTGATTGAGTTCCTCGTCACTGAATGGAAACATCCAACCTCACGTGAACTATTAGCAGAGAAGGAATTGTTTGTGACAAATGAAGAAAAATGCTATAGAATCACAAAAGACGACACACAAGAGGTACTAGAGCTGGAGTCCAGTCATGAGGAGGCTGATACCAGACTACTACTCCACGCTGCCCATGCTGCTGACAATCATACTTCTGCAGTTGTTATTGCCTCAGAAGACACTGATGTATTTCTTCTGTGCCTTGCCTTCATTGACTCCATACATGTTCCACTTTACCAGAAATGTGGCAATATCACCAGAACAAGGTTCATTGATGTTGGAAAGGTTGCAAGAGCTGTTGGTAGGGATGTGTGTAAAGGAATACTTGGACTTCATGCCTTCACAGGTTGTGATTCTGTCAGTGCTTTTGCTGGTCGTGGGAAGATTCGTGCACTAAGGACATTAGAGAATGACAAAGCTGCACAGGATGTATTTAAAGAACTTGGTCAGGAATGGACACTGTCATCAACACTCTTTTCCAAGTTGGAAACGTACACCTGCCAGCTATATGGATCTCGAATGCCATCAATGAGAGTTAACGACTTCCGTTATCACCTATTCTACAGCAAGAAAGTTGCAATTGAGTCACACCAGATGCCACCATGTAAGGATGCTCTTCACAAACATGCAGAGAGGGCAAACTACCAAGCAGCAGTTTGGAAGAGGAGCCTGCAGCAGAAACCAGAGGTGCCTAGTCCTGATGGCTTTGGCTGGAGAATTGAGTGTGCACCTGAGGGAGGAGAAAAGCTTGTCATTGATTGGATGGACGGTGCACCAGCACCAGAAGCAGTACTTGAATTTCTTGCATGCAAATGCTCACGATCATGCAAGCTGCCATCATGTCCATGCATGGTCAACAGAATGAAGTGCTCTAGCATGTGTAAACTGAAAATGTGTGAAAATCAAGAGGATGAGGTTGACACAGGAACTGATGTTTCATCTGAGGATGAATTTGATGAAGTCGACTTTTAGGGTGGTTAGAGGTTATCAACCACAAGAGGACTTTTCAATGTCCAATAACATTGTGAGTGCAAAGAATGAATCAATTGTGTAATATTATGCAATGAAAAGATATTACAGATATTTCTTTTCACAAGTTAAACTGTCCTTGAATTGTTTGTTGAAAGAGAGCATCGTTTCATGGAATGACAAGATTTTAGTTTGTCACAAAATGGTGGACGTACTCGTAGACATATTTTATATATAAAGCTACCAGTTACAGACTGCTATCATGCATTTTTATGAAGCAGGGATATTTCCCTTTTGAAAAAACAAGGTTAGAATTTGCCCCCTTGAATGGTACCGATTAGTCAAATATGGGTGTCCGGCTGACAGACTAATAGACATTGTTTGTGAGTGATAGGGAAAGAAGTCACCAGTGTTTTACAAGGTACGATGTATAGACATTGTTTCTGAGTGATAGGGAAAGAAGCCACCAGTGTTTTACAAGGTACGATATGTAGACGTTGTTTCAGTGTAATAGGGAAAGAAGTCACCAGTGTTTTACAAGGTACGATATATAGACATTTTTTCTGAGTGATAGGGAAAGAAGTCACCAGTGTTTTACAAGGTACGATATATAGACATTGTTTGTGAGTGATAGGGAAAGAAGTCACCAGTGTTTTACATGGTACGATATATAGACATTGTTTGTGAGTGAAAGGGAAAGAAGTCACCAGTGTTTTACAAGGTACGATATATAGACATTGTTTGTGAGTGATAGGGAAAGAAGTCACCAGTGTTTTACAAGGCACGATATATAGACGTTGTTTCTGAGTGATAGGGAAAGAAGTCACCAGTGTTTTACAAGGTACGATACATAGACATTGTTTCTGAGTGATAGGGAAAGAAGTCACCAGTGTTTTACATGGTACGATATATAGACATTGTTTGTGAGTGATAGGGAAAGAAGTCACCAGTGTTTTACAAGGTACGATACATGGACATTGTTTGTGAGTGATAGGGAAAGAAGTCACCAGTGTTTTACAAGGTACGATATATAGACATAGTTTCTGAGTGATAGGGAAAGAAGTCACCAGTGTTTTACAAGGTACGATATATAGACATTGTTTCTGAGTGATAGGGAAAGAAGTCACCAGTGTTTTACAAGGTACGATATATAGACATTGTTTGTGAGTGAAAGGGAAAGAAGTCACCAGTGTTTTACATGGTACGATACATAGACATTGTTTGTGAGTGATAGGGAAAGAAGTCACCAGTGTTTTACAAGGTACGCTATATAGACATTGTTACTGAGTGATAGGGAAAGAAGTCACCAGTGTTTTACAAGGTAATTAAGATATGTAGACATTGTTTGTGAGTGATAGGGAAAGAAGTCACCAGTGTTTTACAAGGTACGATATGCAGACATTGTTTCTGAGTGATAGGGAAAAAGGCACCAGTGTTTTACAAGGTACGCTATATAGACATTTTTTCTGAGTGATAGTGAAAGAAGTTACCAGTGTTTTACAAGGTACAATATATAGACATTGTTTGTGAGTGATAGGGAAAGAAGTCACCAGTGTTTTACAAGGTAGGATCTATAGACATTGTTTGTGAGTGATAGGGAAAGAAGTCACCAGTGTTTTACAAGGTACGATCTATAGACATTGTTTGTGAGTGATAGGGAAAGAAGTCACCAGTGTTTTACAAGGTAAATAAGATATGTAGACATTGTTTCTGAGTGATATGGAAACATTATCACAAATTGCTGAAATCTGACAGTACATATTGTTTTTTAGCATTCTCATATTACAAGCCAAGATAGAAACTACTTACGTGTGAAGATGCACACAGTTGGCACCAGTCATAAGCCATGCTGCATTTTCACCTTTCATCTAGTTCTTGTAAAAATTAAGTTCACAAGTTACTTTGCGTAGAATCAAAACGCAAAGGGTTTACTTATGAATTTATTTTTGTATTTATTTAGCAAATTCATATGAATTAGGTTCAGATATTTACTATTGAAAAGAAAATTAGTTTAATATTTGTTGGAACTTCCCTTCATAATTGTTAATCACGTCAATGAAGAATAGAAAATGGCTAAAGGAGGTTGATTGTTGACACAGTATATATGATTGTTTTTATGCTGGGAGCCATATTTGATTTCCATTCTCAGTCATTCAGGAATCTCAATTTCAATATGGCAGCCATCTCTGATTTAATAAAAATATTCTTCTAAAATATTCTTCTCCAAAACGTAGAAGCCTGAAACTTTGAGGGTTAGATGGGCCGGTTTGTTCAAGACATCAAATTATGGCTGCCAGCATAAAACCATTCTGTGTCATTCAGGATGTGATGTTTTTGTTGTTTCAGGGGATGCTTCTCTGCTGTTGCGATACCGCCTCAAATGTGTTGTATGTAATCAGGGTTCCGAGTGCTCCAGAATACCTCATGTAAAAAATATAGACAAGAAATGTGGGACCGCCCATATATTAGTAAGTACATGTACCTATTGCCATCTGATTGATGACTGATGACTGAGTTTGTTCCGTATGAGTTTAGAGCCAGTTGGTTCTGATTGGCTGTTAATGATGCAGACCCCATAGTAATTCTGGGTTAAAAAATGTCCCCATAGGCTGGTCGAAAGAGGTGACCAAATTAATTATCGTCATGGTACCCCAAAGACTTGTTACTCACAATATCGATCACTGCTTCGGCTGGCCTAGACATAGAGAATCTCCCCGAGTGTCTTTTGATATCAAATACATCAACGGGTGTTGATATATTTGATATCAAAAGACACTCCTTGGAGATTTTATTTTTCATCCAACATCATTCTTCCTACTTTTTCAGTTTGAAGACAGTAATATGCAGTGTTAAAAGTACTGCTCATAGCTTCAGTAGCAGAGCCATTAATGATGTCATTTGATTGTGACGTCATGGTAACCGATGACGTCACCATGGTCTGGAAAGCATTGTGATGCAATTTCATTGCAGCGATATCCACAATGTAGATATCGCTTGATCTCACACAAGCCATATCTTCTGTGAAAACCAGTCTGGATGATAAATGATTATTTACAGGCCGGTATCATTTGGCTGCAATATTGCTGAGTGCGGTTTTCAACAACAAACAAACAAAAACAAACACAATGATACAGTGTTGATGGTGATGTTTCTGTTTCAGGTGCTGAATGAAGTAGTGATAGACCGAGGGCCATCCCCATACTTGTGCAATATAGACCTGTATATAGAGAGTCGACTTGTCACGTCAGTACAGGGGGACGGTGAGTGAGAATTATGACCATTATGACCACCTTGACCATCGTTGACAGTGGGACCCTTTCAGAACCCATGGCTTGACTGTTTGAATGTGTCCAAAACCAAACTCTGCGAATCCTGTTTCAGGCTTGATCATCTCCACGCCGACGGGCAGCACTGCGTATGCGGTGGCGGCAGGGGCATCCATGATCCATCCTAACGTCCCCTGCATCCTCATCACACCCATCTGCCCGCACTCACTCTCATTCAGGCCCGTTGTCGTCCCAGCCGGCGTGGAAATCAAAGTGAGTACAGTTATATGACTATTAGAAGGGTGATGGTCACCTGGAGGTATTGTGCAAACAGCCTGAAGTCTGTGTGAAGATCTGGTTAGGGCTTTGTGAAAGTCCTTGGATATAATCTGGTGAAGTCTTCTGTTGGTCTTGTGTGAAGTGTAGTGATGGTCTGGCGAAGGTTTTGTGGAGGTCTGGTGATGGTTTTGTGAAGGTCTGGTGAAGTGTAGTGATGGTCTGGGGAAGTCTAGTTATGGCCAGTTGAAATCAACTGATGGTTTGGTGAGTCTCGTGATGGTCTTGTGAGGGCTTTGTGAAGGTCTAGGGATGGTCTTGTGAAGTCTAGTGATGGTCTTGTGAAGTCTAGTGATGGTCTGGTAAGTCTGGTGATGGTCTGGTGAGGGTTTTGTGAAAGTCTGGTGAAGTCTAGTTATGGCCAGATGAAGTCTACTGATGGTTTGGTGAGTCTAGTGATGGTCTTGAGAGGGCTTTGTGAAGGCCTAGGGATGGTCTTGTGAAGTCTAGTGATGGTCTTGTGAGGGTTTTGTGGAAGTCTACTGATGGTCTTGTGAGGGCTTTGTGAAGGTCTAGTGATTGTCCTGTGATGGTTTTGTGAATGTCATAAGATTGTCTGCAGTTGCAGTCAATTGACCCAGCATTATGTCTGTGGTGAGGTCATACAGTGGTCTTTTAAATGTCCAAATGAAGCTCTTGTGATGTTCATTGACGCAGCATTATGTCTGTGGAGATGGGCACAAGTTCTTGGATCATATGTGTCGTTGCTGTCATATGAAGAAACACATCACATCAACACTTTCAGATAAAGGGGGATAACTCCAGCCCAGAAAGTTATACTGTGATGAGAATCATAGGAAATTATCTCTTAAGGCTAGAAGTTTCTTATGACAAAATGTCTTCGAGAATGTTTCAATAGTGCACTGACATCGCACAAGGCTTTCAGTGATTATTCATTTAAATTCTCAACTCCGTAGGGAGTATTCTTCTGTGTGGATTGCAGTTACAAAATGGTCCACTGCAACTTGTCGTTATAGGCGACTGAATGGATCATGTGGTCAGGTTTCGTGACATGTTTTTTAGCTTTTCATCAAACCCTAATGGCATAATATCAACCACTGGATAGCCTGGTCCTGCCTTGATTATAACAGACCCCTGTCATAGAGCTGGAATATGGTAAAGAAACGAAACAAGTTGCAAATGTGAAAGTGAAATACAGTAATTGTCAGATCTAACTTGTCTTTAGAAATATCTTTATCTTCTTGTAAGTGTGAACCTCCACATGCTTGTGTAGCGTATGTGTTTGCTTGTTCAGATCATGGTGTCTCCGGATGCGCGGAACAATGCCTGGGTGTCCTTTGATGGCCGGAACAGACAGGAAATACAGCAAGGAGACACGTGAGTAGAGGTTTAGATGTTGTCTATCGTAGGTTTCACTTTGTTTTAAAGTATGACCTGTAACAATGTGGAATGTTTAGTTGAAAGAACATTTATGAGTATTATCCACTAACTGTACCTCATTTGCCAGGCTACGTATAACCACAGCGATGTACCCCATTCCCTCGGTGTGTACACTGTATAACCATGTATACTATAACTTACTGTCCCTCACTTCCAGGCTACGTATCACCACGGCGATGTACTCGATTCCCTTGGTGTGTACACTGTATAACCATGTATACTATAACTTACTGCCCCTCACTTCCAGGCTACGTATCACCACGGCGATGTACCCGGTTCCTTCAGTATGTAAACTGTATAACCATGTATACTATAACTTACTGTCCCTCACTTCCAGGCTGCGTATCACCACGGCGATGTACCCAGTTCCCTCGGTGTGTGCCAAGGACCAAATAGACGATTGGTTTGATGGTCTCGCTGACTGTCTCCACTGGAACGTACGGCGGCAACAGAAGACGTTACCTTCATTACCCAGCACCACCAGCCTGGACTCCGTTATCTTGGACCCTGACAGTAACTGACCAAGGTGTATGTGTAACGAGCCTACAAGTAAATTCTAGCAGGAAATATACGTCATAAATGTGCTTTTATAGACCCTGACTCACTGACCAGGACACTGTGAGATTGGTGTTGTGTCAACTGTGTTCACTGCTGAAGATCATCTGAACAAAATAACTGACCACGTCAAGTGCAAGGTCAAGGCTGTGATTAACAAGACCTCATGATTAGACAGCTTCTATGTACCTCCAGATTCATGAATGGTTATTTGGATTTGGCAGGAGGTGAAGATGTGTGAGATCAAGACTATCTAGGTGTGCAGGTGTCTGTGTGCACATCTGTCTGAATGTCTGGTATCTAAGTGTCAAGATGTGCTGGTATCTAGGTGTCCAGATGCCCTGATATCTAGAATCAAGATGCCCTGGTATCTAGGTGTCCAGATGCTATGGTATCTTGTTGTCTGGATGTTCCGGTACTCGGTGTCCTGTCCTCAAAACTCGAGCTAGCTCATGTTTCCCTATTAGGAATACAGTCACATCTGTTTTTGATAGAGATGAAACTTTGGAATGGAATCATCTTTTATAATTTTATATGATCACATGACAGGTCTATGAGGAGGCAATATTGAGTTTTATACACAGGACTGGAGTGCAATAATACCAGCTTGATCGGGAAGGTGAGAGGGACAACTGGGTCACATTGACCTTTTCCATTGGCGCCGTTATCTGGTATATTAAATGTGTATACACAGTCTCATGCAAAGGGTGTGTTTCTGCTGTTGTATTGACACTGTGGTCAACTGGCATTTGTATATATGTCAGATACGTAGTTTAAAATGTTTTAAATGGCTGAGAAGGTGATGGAGGGAGATATCGTTATTCATTGTGTCTGTCTGGACAGAATGATTTAGTTTAATTATCCCGTTAATTGTTCATACATCATTAATATATATGTCAATAGCTTTGTGTTAGTTGATGTTTCATAATTCTCTCGGGAAGCAGTTTTGTTGTCATGGAAACAGATGATGTCATCCCTTTCCGGTGACCACTTAACATTCCTGAAAACTGTAATATTTCCAATAGCAAGGCACATTAATAATTTATTTTACTTAAAGAAAAAGACTGGACTACAGCTGCTTTTTAAGTTTTAAGGGTTTTTATTACTGTATGGTGATAGAGTAACTACCTGCCCAGTTTGGCAATGCTCACTGCGGTATATCACGATGTGTGATTGTACTTGTTATAAAATTGTATATGCGAATGAAGTTCACATGCTACTAGCACGATGTCATACAAGCTCATCACAAGGTTACTACAAGTTTAGTACGATGTTTAGTAGAAATGTGATTTCTGAATTATACTGATGTTGGCACGATATAGACTAGTTTCGTACGAGTTGAGTACGCGATACTTACAACCTTATCACGACATTAACACGATCTCTATGAGTTTATCACGATGTCAACACGACTAAACCGCAACCAGAATAAGACCGCATGTTGCGGCTGCCATCTTGTCAAGTCAAGTCCGGTGCAAGGACACCTTGCTGCAGCAGCTGACACGAGAGACCACGACAGGGTTCAAGAACTTCCCTGTGGTGGACCCGTGTAGAGAGTCCTTACCCTTCTCCCCGAGTCCTGAGGGACTGGTCCTGGACCTGGTCCTAGTTCTGTGTGGCTGTGGTTGTGCGTAATCTCCAGACTGGGGTGGGTGATGCAACCCACACACTCATCCCACCGTGACTATATCGTAGCGGACTTAGATAAGCTTGTATTCAACACTTGATTATCATAGTGAACTCTAGGTACACCGTAGCTAACTTCAATTATGCACGTTTCCCATATCATACTAGTGACAAGGACACGGTTTGCTCTTCCCCATGAAAATTATAATGTGTTGTGCTCTCATGAATCTAACTCACTTTGTGTCTATCGTGAAGACATTGTACTCACATGGTGTCTATCATGAAAAAGTCGTGTTTACATCAGGTTAATTACAGCACGAGGTCGCTACGAGTGTGGTATGACATACACAAGCTTCCTTCAAACACAACCGTGGACAACACATATATAACACGAGCAAGGCACGATGTCACATGATCCAACCACAATTGTGATCACGAGCACATAAGGAGTGAAGTTCGAGCATATTACGAGCTGATGTAACGATTGCTCATGCGAGCTTAACATTGTGAAATGTCCCAGCCTAAATCGCGAAAGGTTACAGGTAGCATGAATTGAAGCAACATGCAGTTTTAAGTGGTTCTTTAAATGACGATGTGAAGAGTTACCTCCCTTCCAATATCAATCAACTGGTAGGTGAAAATGGTAGTTACGAAAGGACTTTGCAGGAAGAATAAGAAAATTATTTTTAATTGTTCACTTATGATTGTTTATCGATACAGCAAGTAATGCAAACCCTGGAAATACACAAAGAAAGTATGTCCATGTTGTAAATTGAAAACCAAAACATGAGAGTAATTTATTTAATCACCTCCACATTGTGTCTTTACTGTGCACCTGCTGTTGTTAATCATATATGTGTGTTGTATGTTTCACCAGCTGATAAATTTATATGTGTTAAAGTTAAAAGAAATGCCGAGACATTAAGCCAAAAGCAGAATCTTTTTGCAATACTAATATGAACATTGTCACTCGCTGTTTTCCAATGAGTTTTTTTTATCAGACCATAGGTTTCCAATCACATGATCAGTCTTCCTGCATTCTGCGTGAAACGTTTCTCGATGCCATCCACATGTACAGCCATATAGGTAGTTTCTGTAACCCACGGCTTCTAAATTAACCTGTTGAATATAGAGTAGTCAGCAGACATCTTTAACAAATACTTGTAGTTGTAAGACCAGTAGTAGCAAATGGGCAGATAACTCTAATTACCCCTAGCTAGCCATGTGCTTGGCATCTGTATTTCTCGACTTGAGACTAAAGTAAGGCATTCTAATCAGCAGCTGAGGTTGTTAACATTCAAAAACCTAAACCTTTGTGGCATCAAAAATTGAAATCCCAACTTGTGGAATTGTGGTGTTTACTGACAGTCAGTCCTCCAGAAACATCAATCACTTGACTTTATTAAATAATACTTATTACGTATGTGCTCAAAAGATAACTCTATGTAAGTCCTTTTCCACTGCTGTGATATTGTTGTTATAATGCTAAAAGTGGTGTAAAACTTACTCTCGTAATAAACTCAATATGGATGCAAGACATTAAACATAAGGCAAGTTAATCTAGTCACTGGATTAATGTAATATCGTCATTTAATATTGTATCTCTATGAAATGATGACATATGGTGTCTAATCTTTGTGTTGACCAGGTCAAGGGTCAGTCATGAACTCTTCCTTTAGCATGCAAGTAGTTGCAACAATTATCATATTGATGTTCTATTTCAAGTGTAGTGGCATGTACACAGGTTGTCTAATAGGACCCCTTTGTGGCCACTGGCCTGTCCGCACCATATCCATGTTCACTGTAATGTCCTGCGTCATTTGAATGATTCTTCAACAGTAAGGTCTGATATAACTAAGATATTGTTCAAAGCAGCGTTGAACCCGACTCATTCACTCGTTGACCCTTGCTGCCATTGTCATCTATCCATCTGTCCGTGTGAAGCTGAGTATACTGCCAATGTGTCAAGTTGAGGGAATGGTGTGTTCGTTATTACACAGCCTCATTGGTATGGGGATATTGTAGGGAAATGTATCCGGCAGGGTTACAATAGTACTGCAAGAGTTAACACTTGCGATTATATACCCAGTACCTTTACCTTCCAACACTGTGTCTGACGTAGCTGTCTGCCTGTTGTCCCGTGGATGGCAACATTTCTTCTTCAATTAATTCTTACTTGTCCAACTGTCCTGTAGAATGATCAGTTATTCATATTCATAATGATGTTTGTAATATATAAATTATGTTTTGAATTAATTAATATACAATGTCAACACGTGTTTGTATTTTTATGAAATATTTTATTTATCAAGAGAAACAATAAAAGACTACACAACAACAAACTCTTAGTTGTGATATTTGTGATGCAAAGTCAGTGAACATAACGTAGAAGCTACAGAGACACAGCTGATTATGGGAGGGCTGGTTATCTTAGACTGAAAGTAACTAGGAAGGGTTCTGCTTTACATGTAACAACAGAAGCAGTCCATTTCCCACCATTTCCTGAATGTCCAGAAATGGGGTGACAGCAAACTCGATTATCCAGTACATCACATGTCCATTCTGTAAATACCTGCGTCTTCCTGCATCTCTTACTCGACACTAAATGTCACATGAGAGGTATTTGGTCGGATGTCTAATTTCATCTTTGTGCCATTCAAGTAGGTCTCAGGATGACCTTTTATCAGCAAATGGGTGCAGGGTATTTATCATTATAGAATGGAGATATAATACAGTGGATAAATGACAATGGGGGTAGCAGAAGGTCCCCATTGATACACAGCTGTAGAAATGCTTGGTCCAGCATGTCTTATTCAGTCCTGAGCCTATCTGTCCTAAGAACATTTGGTAAGCATGTCTGGTTTAATGACATCTCTTCTGGATTTAGAACAAAAAAAATACTTAAAGCAGTATAACTTGGCAACAGCATCCTTAATAACAAAGGTGTAAGGACTTCCGTTTTAATTACATCATTTCTAGTTGGTTAAGACAAGAACAATAAAGTGCAACTAGGAAAATGAAAACTCAATATCTCCATCTACCTTAATAAGAGAGTCATAAGTACTGGTTAAATTACATCATTTCCATTTTGGGAAATACAACCGTCAAGTGCAACTAGAACATTGAAACATGCCTGCCTCTAGCTACCTTAATATGAAAGTTCTAAGATCTGGTTTATCACATCACTTGCCTTGGGGAAAACAAGAATACAGTGAAACTAGACAATTGAAACATACATGCCTCTAGCTACCTTAATAAGAAAGTTAAAATATCTGGTTTAGTCAAATCACTTCCCTTGGGGAAAACAAGAATACAGTGCAACTAGAAAATTGAAACATACATGCCTCTAGCTACCTTAATATGAAAGTTAAAAGATCTGGTTTAGTCACATCACTTGCCTTAGAGAAAACAAGAATACAGTGCAACTAGAAAATTAAAACATACATGCCTCTAGCTACTTTAATGGGGATGTTAAAAGATCTGTTTTAATAGCTACCTTAATAAGAAAGTTATAAGATCTGGTTGAATCACACCACTTGCCTTTGGGAAAACAAGAATACAGTGCAACTAGAAAATTAAAACATACATGCCTCTAGATACTTTAATAAGAAACTTATAAGATATGGTATCATTACATCACATCCCTTTTAAGAAAACAAGAATACAGTGCAACTAGAAAATTGAAACATACATGCCTTTAGATACTTTAATAAGAAACTTATAAGATCTGGTATAATTACATCACATCCCTTTTAGGAAAACAAGAATACAGTGCAACTAGAAAATTGAAACATACATGCCTCTAAATACCTTAATAAGAAAGTTATAAGATCTGGTATAATTACATCACTTCCCTTTGGGGAAATACAACAATCCAGTGGAACAAGCAAATTTAAATATACATGTCTCTAGCAACCTTAATAAGAAAGTCATAAGCAATGGCATAATTATATGATCTCTATTTTGGGGAACAAACAATCCAGCTCAACTAGAAAGTTGAAACATACATGCCTCTAGCTACCTTAACAAGAAAGTTATAAGATCTGGTTTAATTACATCACTTGCCTTTGGGGAAATACAACCCCGTCCAGTGCAACTAGAAAATTGAAACATATATGCCTCTAGCTACATTAATATCAACGTAAAATATCTGGTTTAGTCACATCACTTCCCTTGGGAAAAACAAGAATACAGTGCAACTAGAAAATTGAAACATACATGCCTCTAGCTACCTTAATAAGAAAGTTATAAGATCTAGTTGAATTACATCACTTCCCTTTGGGGAAATACAACCCCCTCCGGTGCAAATAGAAAATTGAAACATACATGCTGGCGCCTCTAGCTACATTAATATGAAAGTTAAAATATCCGGTTTAGTCACATCACTTCCTTTGGGGAAAACAAGAATACAGTGCAACTAGAAAATTGAAACATAAATGCCTCTAGCTACCTTAACAAGAAAGCTATAAGATCTGGTTTAATTACATCACTTCCTTTTGGGGAAATACAACTGTCCAGTGCAACTAGAAAATTGAAACATACATGCCTCTAGCTACCTTAATATGAAAGTTAAAATATCTGGTTTAGTCACATCACTTCCCTTGGAGAAAACAAGAATACAGCGCAACTAGAGAATTGAAACATACATGCCTCTAGCTACCTTAATAAGAAAGTTATAAGATCTGGTATAATTACATCACTTCCCTTTGGGGAAATACAACCGTCCAGTGCAACTAGAAAATTGAAACATACATGCCTCTAGCTACTTTAATGGGGATGTTAAAAGATCTGTTTTAATAGGTACCTTAATAAGAAAGTTATAAGATCTGGTTGAATCACATCACTTGCCTTGGGAAAAACAAGAATACAGTGCAACTAGAACATTGAAACATACATGCCTCTAGGTACTTTAATAAGAAACTTATATGATCTGGTATAATTACATCACATCCCTTTGGGGAAAGACAACCTTCCAGTGCAACTAGAAAATGGAAACATACATGCCTCTAGCTACATTAATACGAAAGTTAAAATATCTGGTTTAGTCACATCACTTCCCTTGGGGAAAACAAGAATACAGTGCAACTAGAAAATTGAAACATACATGCCTCTAGCTACATTAATACGAAAGTTAAAATATCTGGTTTAGTCACATCACTTCCCTTTGGGAAAACAGGAATACAGTGCAAATAGAAAATTAAAACATACATGCCTCTCGCTACCTTAATGGGGAAGTTAAAAGATCTGTTTTTATAGCTACCTTAATAAGAAAGTTATAAGATCTGGTTGAATCACATCACTTGCCTTGGGGAAAACAAGAATACAGTGCAACTAGAAAATCGAAACATACATGCCTCTAGATACTTTAATAAGACACTTATAAGATCTGGTATAATTACATCACATCCCTTTGGGGAAAGACAACCATCCAGTGCAACTAGAAAATTGAAACATACATGCCTCTAGATACTTTAATAAGAAACTTATTTATAAGATCTGGTATAATTACATCAATTCCCTTTGGGGAAATACATCAATCCAGTGCAACAAGAAAATGTATATATATACATGCCTCTAGCTACCTTAATAAGAAAGGCATAAGCACGGGTTTAATTATATCATCTCTATTTGGGGAACAAACAATCCAGTGCAACTAAAAAGATGAAACATCCATGTCTCTAGCAACCTTAATAAGAAAGTCATAAGCACTGGTATAATTATATCATCTCTATTTTGGGGAACAAACAATCCAGTGCAACTAGAAAATTGACACATACATGCCTCTAGCTACCTTAATAAGAAAGCCATAAGCACTGGTGTAATTACATCATCTCTATTTATGGGAACAAACAATCCAGCGCAACTAGAAAATTGAAACATACATGCCTCTAGCTACCTTAATATGAAAGTTATAAGATCTGGTTTAATACATCACTTCCCTTTGGGGAAATACAACCGTCCAGTGCAACTAGATAATTGAAACATACGTGCCTCTAGCTACCTTAATAAGAAAGTTATAAGATCTGGTTTAATTACATCACTTCCCTTTTGGGGAAATACAACAATCCAGTGGAAGTAGAAAATTGAAACAAACCTGCCTCTAGATACTTTAATAAGACAGTTATAAGATCTGGTATAATGTCATCACTTCTTTTTTGGGGAAATACAACAATCCAGTGCAAGAAGCAAATTTAAATATACATGCCTCTAGCTACCTTAATAAGAAAGTCACAAGCACTGGTATAATTATATCATCTCTATTTTGGGGAACAAACAATCCAGTTCAACTAGAAAATGAAACATACATGCCTCTAGCTACCTTAATAAGAAAGTTATAAGATCTGGTATAATTACATCACTTCCCTTTGGGTAAATACAACCGTCCAGTGCAACTAGAAAATTGAAACATACATGCCTCTAGCTACTTTAATGGGGATGTTAAAAGATCTGTTTTAATAGGTACCTTAATAAGAAAGTTATAAGATCTGGTTGAATCACATCACTTGCCTTGGGGAAAACAAGAATACAGTGCAACTAGAACATTGAAACATACATGCCTCTAGATACTTTAATAAGAAACTTATATGATCTGGTATAATTACATCACATCCCTTCGGGGAAAGACAACAATCCAGTGCAAGAAGAAAATTTAAATATACATGCCTCTAGCTACCTTAATAAGAAAGTCATAAGCACTGGTATAATTATATCATCTCTTTTGGGGGACAAACAATCCAGTTCAACTAGAAAATGAAACATACATGCCTCTAGCTACATTAATAAGAAAGCTAAAAGATTTGCTTAGTCACATCACTTCTTTTGGGGAAATACAACCCCGCCCAGTGCAACTAGAAAATTGAAACATACATGCCTCTAGCTACATTAATATGAAAGTTACAATATCTGGTTTAGTCACATCACTTCCCTTGGGGAAAACAAGATTACAGTGCAACTAGAACATTGAAACATACATGCCTCTAGCTACCTTAATAAGAAAGTTATAAGATCTGGTATAATTACATCACTTCCCTTTGGGGAAATACAACCGTCCAGTGCAATTTCAAAATGGAAACATACATGCCTCTAGCTACTTTAATGGGGAAATAAAAAGATATGTTTAAATAGCTCCCTTAATAAGAAAGTTATAAGATCTGGTTGAATCACATCACTTGCCTTGGGGAAAACAGGAATACAGTGCAACTAGAAAATTGAAACATACATGCCTCTAGGTACTTAATAAGAAACTTATAAGATCTGGTATAATTACATCAATTCCCTTTGGGGAAATACAACAATCCAGTGAAACAAGAAAATGAATATATACATGCCTCAAGCTACCCTAATAAGAAAATCATAAGCACTGGTATAATTATATCATCTTTATTTGGGGCAACAAACAATCCAGCGCAACTAGAAAATTGAAACATACATGCCTGTAGCTACTTTAATATGAAAGTTATAAGATCTGGTATAATTACATCACATCCCTTTGGGGAAAGTCAACTATCCAGTGCAAATAGAAAATTGAAACATACATGCCTCTAGATACTTTAATAAGAAAGTTATAAGATCTGGTATAATTACATCAATTCCCTTTGGGGAAATACAACAATCCAGTGCAACAAGAAAATGAATATATACATGCCTCTAGCTACCTTAATAAGAAAATCATAAGCACTGGTATAATTATATCATCTTTATTTTGGGCAACAAACAATCCAGCGCAACTAGAAAATTGAAACATACATGCCTCTAGCTACTTTAATATGAAAGTTATAAGATCTGGTATAATTACATCACATTCCTTTGGGGAAAGTCAACTATCCAGTACAAATAGAAAATTGAAACATACATGCCTCTAGATACTTTAATAAGAAACTTATAAGATCTGGTATAATTACATCAATTCCCTTTGGGGAAATACAACAATCCAGTGCAACAAGAAAATGTATATATACATGCCTCTAGCTACCTTAATAAGAAAGTCATAAGCAATGGTTTAATTATATCATCTCTATTTGGGGGAACAAACAATCCAGTGCAACTAAAAAAATGAAACTTCCATGTCTCTAGCAACCTTAATGAGAAACCCATAAGCACTGGTGTAATTATATTATTTCCCCTTATTGGGGTTGTTAAATAGGAACTTAGGCCTGCTTGCTTCGTCACACAGATCAGGGCATGGGGAAGATATTTGACACTGTGGACAACTAACCTGTTGGATGTACAGGATGTGTCACGTGGTTGAGCCTAAGAAAACAACTGCCGCTCTCTAGACAACCTGAATGAGTCTGGATTATTTCTAATACTGTATATATTTATAAAATTCCGAATTCAAGTACAAGTAAGCAAAAGCAAAAAACATAAGTTTCTACACAATGGTCATCTACCCACATATTCTTGTATGAACTCCAGTTGTGAGTTGATACTTGTCTAGGTAGAGGGATAAACTTAAATATTAAAATACTAATACTAATAAAGTATTTTGCCAAGTATGTTACAAATGTAACATAACGAATTACACCCAATCTGATAACATTCAGATATGGTAAAAATGGCATTTTCGACTGCTTCCATGAAGCCATATCAATACATCTTAGAGGAATCATGTGAGAAATTCCCTGACACGCCAATTCTAGAATCATATACACATGTTTGCATTTGTTTTCAGTGTTATCTAAATTTTTCCAATAATTGGTCACATGTTATAGTAAAAAAAAGAAACCCAACACATGAAAATACATTTATGAGTACATTCTACCTTCATAAACTTCATGATACACTAACAAATGGTTAAACAATCAGTTCCTTATACTTCAAACATTGTTTCAGTGAAATATATGTTTGTTTTGCTTTTTAGACTACGGTATTTACAGTGAAAATGACATACCTTGGTACATTAACATGTGTATAGAACAGATATTGACGCCAATGAAGGTGTGCATGTATTAGCTAATTTACTCCACCATTAGCGTCAGTAACCGAGACACACCTGTCTGTCACACAAAGCCAAGTGTGAACCATAATAACTACAGCTCAAGTACAGATGTTATAACCTGATAATTGTTGAGGTCAGACCTACTGTTACCTCGACCCATGGAACCTATAAGAAGGATAGTATTTTTTCAAACTTGACGATGTCATTATATGTAGTCAATTGATAACATGTTTTAGGTAGCCAATATGTAATTTATCAGAGCCGGATACGTTAACATTTCATTGATTTATCGGTAGACAAGTTATCCTTTGATGTAAAATGGTTGTAGAGAGGCTATGAAACATATCTGTGGTAAATTTAGTGCAATCATTTTCCATTGATTCCACTGTATCTGTTACGTTGGAGTGAGTGAGTATGGTTTTTACGCCGCTTTTAGCAATATTCCAGCAATATCACGGCGGGGGACACCAGAAATGGGCTTCACAAATTGTACCCATGTCGGGAATCGAACACGGGTCTTCGGTATGGCGAGCGAACGCTTTAACCACTAGGCTACCCGACCGCTCCCTGTTACGTTGGAAGCAAACGATGTATCAAAACTGTCAGACAGTACGTAGAAACATTGCGGAAATACTCACTAAGCATTAACATGTACCCTCTGGCATTGCACGAGTCATGTTGTGAGTCCACTTCTGGACATTTCAAGATTTCATGAAGTTTTTGTTCGAGAGAGCTCTCTTTAAATCTGCGATGTTCGGAAATCATAGTTAGTATCTCTGCACTTTCTATATTGTATGTCATCCACATTTCAAAAGGTCACACCTGAGACGGCGTTATTTCTTTAAAATACACACTTATAGGCAAATGGTCAGACACACAATAGGTGTCATCATATGTCCAGTTACGAAAGGGGGGTTATTATGGATATTCTTTATTTACAGTTAAATCAATGTGTTGCATGCAAATAGGCCTTCTGTTGGCCCACATTGTCCTTTCGAACTAACCCTGTCACCACCACCATTGATATACACATAGACAATGAGGGTTCATGTTATCGTACACTTTGTTGAGAAGATACAAAGTGTTTGATCGTCTACAGGACCAATAGAGATACAATGTTTTCCGCTGAGTGGTCTTTGTAGGTGTGACGCCATCATAATATATATTATCACCTATGTTTATTGAATATTTGTGCTTTATCGTCTTGGTTATACCAGAAAGTCATTGGGACCCAATAACGACAGTTGACGATGTAACTAGTATATACCTTTGTCTACACGCAGTTGATCATCACATGTTTGACATATGACAGCACAAACAGTTTTTTCTGAGATGTTAGCCACAGATAACCCCCGTCCTCATACTCCTGAAAAGTTCATTGTGCGGTGTTGATAGATGCGTGCACTAGTAATTCTCTCATTGTGCAGGTCATTGTGTAAGCATGCCTTTGTTCTGCTTTAATTAAGTTCCGACCCAGAAAAAATATCAGGATTACATAAAATTGTTCCGACCATGTTGTGAAAGGTTCCGGTTGACAGGAACAAATGTTTGGGTGTGTTTATGAGCGATGTTCCTGTATATTGTAAATGTGCAACATGAAAACCCGGGAAAATAAGACATACAATTGCAATACAAATCAACATAATCTAACGGAAAAACAAAAACAAATGATGAAAAAGAAAAGTAAGAAAAAAACATCAGTTATCTAGGGTAATATGGTTGATTTTTGACGGTTTCTTTGTAAGTAACTTGCTCCTTGCATTCATGCAGTCAATGTATCATCAATTGTACCCACCCACCTGCTGATAGGCGGAATTGCTTTACAATTGGATATTGACAGGGATTTCATCCTTCAGCTCGGGCATTAGTGACTCTAGGAGCCGTTTGCTGTCTCAACATGCTGATGGGGGTAGAGAAGTATAATTTGTTTGTCTTGTGTACATATATCTGCCCCCGACCCCCCTGTCTCGAAGTAATTTTACTGTCTCACTATGTCCCAGCGATATTGCTAGGTGCAGAGGGGTAAGACCATTTTTGTTTTGATTTGATACATCAGCCTACTTGACCAGAAGTAGTTTCACTGTCTCACCATGTCCCCGTGATTGTGCTAGGTGTAGAGGAGTATATCCATCCCTGTTTTGTGTGGATACATCAGCCTTCTTGTCTAGAAGTAGTTTCACTGCCTCACTATGTCCCCAACGGGCTGCTAGGTGTAGAGGAGTATCACCATCTTTGTTTTGTGCTGATACATCAGCCTTCTTGTCTAGAAGTAGTTTCACTGCCTCACTATGTCCCCAACGTGCTGCTAGGTGTAGAGGAGTATCACCATCCCTGTTTTGTGTAGAAACATGAGCCTTTTTGTCTAGAAGTAGTTTTACTGTCTCACTATGACCCCGCGATGCTGCTAGGTGTAGAGGAGTATCACCATCTTTGTTTTGTGCTGATACATCAGCCTTCTTGTCTAGAAGTAGTTTCACTGCCTCACTATGTCCCCAACGTGCTGCTAGGTGTAGAGGAGTATCACCATCTTTGTTTTGTGTAGATACATCAGCCTTCTTGTCTAGAAGTAGTTTTACTGTCTCACTATGTCCCCGCGATGCTGCTAGGTGTAGAGGAGTATCACCATCTTTGTTTTGTGCTGATACATCAGCCTTCTTGTCTAGAAGTAGTTTCACTGCCTCACTATGTCCCCAAGGTGCTGCTAGGTGTAGAGGAGTATCACCATCTTTGTTTTGTGTAGATACATGAGCCTTTTTGTCTAGAAGTAGTTTTACTGTTTCACTATGTCCCCGCGATGCTGCTAGGTGTAGAGGAGTATATCCATCCCTGTTTTGTGTGGATACATCAGCCTTCTTGTCTAGAAGTAGTTTCACTGCCTCACTATGTCCCCAAAGGGCTGCTAGGTGTAGAGGAGTATCACCATCTTTGTTTTGTGCTGATACATCAGCCTTCTTGTCTAGAAGTAGTTTCACTGCCTCACTATGTCCCCGCGATGCTGCTAGGTGTAGAGGAGTATCACCATCCCTGTTTTGTGTAGATACATGAGCCTTTTTGTCTAGAAGTAGTTTTACTGTCTCACTATGTCCCCGCGATGCTGCTAGGTGTAGAGGAGTATTACCATCTTTGTTTTGTGTAGATACATCAGCCTTTTTGTCTAGAAGCAGTTTTACTGTCTCACTATGACCCCGCGATGCTGCTAGATGTAGAGGAGTATCACCATCTTTGTTTGGTGTAGATACATAAGCCTTCTCATCTAGAAGTAGCTTTACTGTCTCACTATGACCCCGCGATGATGCTAGGTGTAGAGGAGTATCACCATCTTTGTTTTGTGTAGATACATCTACTGCCTTGTCTAGAAGTAGTTTAACTGCCTCACTATGTCCCCAAGGTGCTGCTAGATGTAGAGGAGTGTTACCATCTTTGTTTGGTGAAGATACATCAGCCTCCTTCTCAAGAAGTAGTTTTACAGTCTCACTATGTCCCCGTGATGCTGCTAGGTGTAGAGGAGTGTCACCATCTTTGTTTTGTGTAGATACATCAGCCTTCTTGTCTAGAAGTAGTTTCACTGCCTCACTATGTCCCCAAGGTGCTGCTAGGTGTAGAGGAGTATCACCATCCCTGTTTTGTGTATATACATGACCCTTTTTGTCTAGAAGTAGTTTTACTGTCTCACTATAACCCCGCGATGCTGCTAGGTGTAGAGGAGTATCACCATCCCTGTTTTGTGTAGATACATCTACTGCCTTGTCTAGAAGTAGTTTAACTGCCTCACTATGTCCCCAAGGTGCTGCTAGATGTAGAGGAGTATTACCATCTTTGTTTTGTGCTGATACATCAGCCTCCTTCTCTAGAAGTAGTTTTACTGTCTCACTATGTCCCCGCGATGCTGCTAGGTGTAGAGGAGTATTACCATCTTTGTTTTGTGCAGATACATCAGCCTTCTTGTCTAGAAGGAGTTTCACTGCCTCACTATGTCCCCAATGTGCTGCTAGATGTAGAGGAGTATTACCATCTTTGTTTTGTGCTGATACATCAGCCTCCTTCTCTAGAAGTAGTTTTACTGTTTCACTATGTCCCCGCGATGCTGCTAGGTGTAGAGGAGTATTACCATCTTTGTTTTGTGTAGATACATCAGCCTTCTTGTCTAGAAGTAGTTTCACTGCCTCACTATGTCCCCAATGTGCTGCTAGATGTAGAGGAGTATTACCTTCTTTGTTTTGTGCTGATACATCAGCCTCCTTCTCTAGAAGTAGTTTTACTGTTTCACTATGTCCCCGCGATGCTGCCAGGTGTAGAGGAGTATTACCATCTTTGTTTTGTGTAGATACTTCAGCCTTTTTGTCTAGAAGCAGTTTTACTGTCTCACTATGACCCCGCGATCCTGCTAGGTGTAGAGGGGTATCATCATCTTTGTTTTGTGTAGATACATCTGCTGCGTTGTCTAGAAGTAGTTTTACTGTCTCAATCTGTCCCCACTTTGCTACCATGTGTAGAGGTGTATCACCATCTTTGTTTTGTGTGCATACACCAGCCCCCTTGTTTAGAAGTAGTTTTACTGTCTCACTTTGTCCCCGGGGTGGAGCTAGATGTAGAGGAGTATCACCATCTTTGTTTGGTGTAGATACATAAGCCTTCTCATCCAGAAGTAGTTTTACTGTCTTAGTATGTCCCCATGATGCTGCCTGGTGAAGAGGAGTATCACCATCTTTGTTTTGTGTGGATACGCAAGCCCCCTCGTCTAGGAGTCGTTTCACTATCTCACAACTTTCATTCCCTGCTGCTAGGTGGAGCGGAGTACTACCATCTGTATTTAACCAGTGTACGCATTGTGGATCTAATGGAAGATGCTGGCTATTTTGTTCATTTAAAAACACGTTGGTGTAGTAAAGATTTCCTGTCTGAACAGCCAGATGTAGAAGTGTATTACCTTTTCCATCTGTGATATCTTGAAGGGGGCAGTTGGCAGGTATCAAAGATATCAACATGTGTAAGATTGTACACATGATGGTAGAGTCCTGACATGTATTTGGAGAACTGCTTAAACAGTTACACCCCTGATGAAGCAATGAAAGCTTTAATATTTCCTGACACCTTGATACAATATCCTTGTCATTTTTAAGATATTGTAGTATATGTTTCACTAAGTACTTATTTCCAACTAACACAGTGACAAGGAGTACATCGTACGGCTGAGGTATCTCTGAGGTAATATTCTGTGTCAGACGTTCCTTGATATCTTGATCAATAGCCGGAGAAACACATAGTGCCAGGAAGCAATCAGACAGATCTGTTCTACACTTGTCTAGCAGCTTTTGCACAAGCTGGTTATCCTGGATATACAGAGCAGGTGCCAGTAATTCTGTTGTATCAACTTTGTGGCACACATCAGACAGTATGTCATTCAGGAGTAACATCAACCCCTGTAAAATGACATCAGAGATAAGGGAAGTATAGTTGAAAAGGGTAAGTGAATAATGATAAAAACCAAAACTTGAATCTAAATCATCATCTCCTTCAGAAGAGGGAACGTCCCACTTAACACATTTCACCTCGTGCTTTTTCTGTATAACTTCAGTTAACTTCATATTTTCCCGCCAACTTTCTACCAGAAACTTCACAAATTCCTCATGACGTAAAGAAGGATGATCAAGAATGTCACTGTAGCTTTTTGACAGAAGAAGATCTGTGATCTTGTCAGCTAATATATGGTAATCATCTCTGGCTAGGATAACGGCTAAGTCACTCTCGTTCATCTGCTTTGTATGCATCAATTCCACCAGCATCTTTGGTGGGCAATTGCGTATAGCAATTTCAGGTTCCCGTTTTGAAATATTGATAAATACAACGTCATGTATAGATTGATGCTGGAACTGGTAGATTTTTCCCGTTTTGACTAAATACACTCCACAGAAATCCTCTATCTTTGATTTAATGTGTGCCGCTGTGACAACTGTAGAAATGTTGCAACATTCTTTGAGATACTCAACCGTGGACGCAAGTTCTTCTTTATAGGTAGAGGGTTTCAGTTGATCGGAGCTGAGGTTACCATCTTTCATCAACGTTAGAAGGAGGACAAGGTGACCAATTCCATCACATTCCTGCATTCTCGTTATTTCCTCAGAAACGAACTCATGTGGTCTTTTGAAGAACTCCTTGCCTTTTGATTGTGCTTCCTTGCTTGATGCAAAGAATGTACAACACTGTGGAAAACCGAGGACAGTGGTCATTCTAACAATGTCATTACGTTCATGATGATTAAAGAATTTATCTCCACATATCTTTTCTATCATTTCAAGTTTTTCTCCTGGTGTGAAAACATATTCTCCTTCATCTAGAACCATGCACTGAATAGTTTTTATGAGTTTGTACTTCCTGATTTTGGCATCACACTGTAAACATATTTCAGATCTTGAGGTAATGACAAGCCATACATGACCTGATTCCACATTTTGCCAAAGTCGGTCAAACAACTTGACCCATATATTCACATCTGATTCAACCAGATTACTTGATCCAAATATATCATCGATTAACACCACATACTTTTTCTGTTCAGTACTTTCATCCCCCTGGTGGTTCTCGTGATTAACCTTAGGAATCAGATTCCATTCATTCCATGATGAAAGCACGACTGGCGACCGGCTTGTTTCTCTTGATACTCTTGCTAAAATCGTCAGACCAAGTGTAGATTTCCCTGAGCCTGACTTTCCTTTTATGAAGACAGATCCTTGCTGTTGTATTAGATTGTATGCAGACCTCTCACCGTTTGTAGATACATGCTTGTTTGAATCGGCCTGCTTGATAAGGTTCAATGCATCACCTGCAGTTATATGTCAGTGTTAGTATTCAAATAGTTCTTGTCTGATATTGAGAATGAAAGTATTGAAACATACATGTAACAACTCTCACATTTCTGCCAAGTTTTTTAATCTGCAACATTGAATGATATTGAATAAATTATCACAAAGTTGCAGCACACAACATTTTTAACTCCGTCAGAAATACTTTGAACCTAACGCTGAGAAACAACAAAGAATATATACACCTCGTCATAATCATCGCACCACACATTTTAAATTAAAAGTAGAAAATATGTTTTTTTGTATTTTTAAACCACAAGTACATATTTCATAAACTACACCATCTGTGAACATAATATCACAAAGACACCCTGTTCCGAGCTGCACGTGCATGCTTGCGTTGAGCATGCTTGTACCGGGGGTCGGTTTGCTAAAAATGCGGTATGCACATAGCCTCTTTTGGCGTATGTTATGATGGCAGACATAGCTAGAATTTGGTTTTAGGCATAAATGAAGCTTTATTTTGACCAACCAGTGAAATGCCCAAGCGTCCAGTGCCTCTGAACCAAAGATGGCAAATTATTAGTATGCACCAGACTGGTATGTCATGTCGTGCTATTGGAGCACAACTGAACATTAATCACACTGTCATCAACAGGCTAATACGTAAGCATACTGCTTCCGGTGAAGTGAAGGATGCACCCAGGTCTGGACGTCCCAGAAAAAACAATGACAGGGAAGATCGTGCTCTCGTACGCCAAGCCAGACGAAGCCCAAAGTCTACTTGTACACAGCTGTGACCAACTCCCTTATATTTTAAAATTGGAACTTTTAGTTTAAATTGTATATCTATGTCACACTATGCATTTCTTCTTTGGCTTGCTGATTTTGTTGATGCATGTCATCGATCCCAATTGTGTGGATCGATGCTCATGATTTTAATCCCTTGATTGTCTGGTCCAGACTCGATTATTTACAGACCACTGTGATATAGCTGGAATATTGCTGAGTGCGGCGTTAAACAACAAGCAAGCAAACATTTCTTCTTTAAACCTATATGGAAATGTGCATGAACCATGCATGTTTCCAGCTTCTAAAACATAAAATTCACCTGAACACACCCCAGCATCTCTATGGTTATGACCAACAACTGGATCAATTTCGTGCTCGGTGCACGGTAACCTTCCAGGATCCGGGTACGTGTGTCTCCCTGTCAACTAATTTTCATTCGTAGAGCTATTAGACGAGAGGAACTGAGATTAGGGGATGGTTAGGCATGCATATCACGTGACATAGAAACTAGACATAGATGTAAAACCACTTTTTGCCAATATCTAAAATAATTACATTAAATGAAAACCAAATCAGTCAAACAGAAAGATGATGTGTCTATGATTCGCGAAAACACATGCAAAGCACATAAACGTAGCGTTTGGGGATCAATTTTACAGCTTCATCCAAACGCAACTGCCTGTAAAAAAACGTGCAGCACAGGCCCCCCTGCTGAATGGGTATACAAATCCACATCAACGGCTGTTCATACAGTCCTTATAACGAGAGTAGAGGCGGTGACAGAATGCCAGGACTGAATGCAGCTCAACGGAACAACGTCATTGGGAGATTAGAAGCCGGAGCAACTCTGCTAGAAGTGGCCAGGCACTTTGGCGTATCCAGGCAGACAATCTCCGCACTGTGGACCCAATACAACAACACCAACAGAGTTGACGAAAGACCAAGGTCAGGAAGACCAAGGGTGACAACCCAAGCACAAGATCGATACATCCGGCTGCGACACCTTCGAGACCGCACTAACACAGCCACGTCTATAACCACACAGATCCCTGGGGTACACAGAATATCAGATCAAATGGTACGCAACAGATTGAGGGAGGTTGGACTTTTTGCACGAAGACCTGTTCGACGTCATGTATTGACCCCACGTCATCTGGCGGACCGTCTACTTTGGTGTCAACAGAGGGTTCAATGGGCACGTGCAAGGTGGAGAAATGTACTGTTTACTGACGAGTCCCGTTTCCTACTCACACGTGCTTATGGGCGCGCACGTGTCTTTAGACGTCGGGAGGGATGTTAAGCCCCCAACTGTGTACAGAAGGTTGTCCCATTTGGCGGCGGGAGTGTCATGGTATGGGCCGGAATTCATCACGGTGGTAGGACGCCTCTCGTGCATGTGGCAGGTGCATTGAAAGGTGTGCGTTGCAGAGACTAGATCCTACAGCCTTACGTTCTTCCTTACGTTCAACGTTCATGGCGGACAGTTCCAGCAGGACAACGCTCGACCGCATATTGCACGTGTTTGTCAGGACTTCTTACATCATTACCGGAATGTTTAAACTGGATCCTGGTGGCATCCAAAGCATGTATCTTGCTAACGCAAGCTGCAGTAGCCAAGACCAAAATGAACACAGTCTTCAGTGTGATCTGTTCAAAATCTTTGTCAGCCAGTGACACATAATCACTCAATGTCAGACTTTCAAGGAGGCCGATATCGCAAGGATTGCAGGAGCCAGTTTGTAAGAGCCAAGGAGAGATTTGAGTTCCACAACAGTGGAGACTTTTGCACATGAAGTAGTGGCGATCAGGGAGTTGATAGCTGCAAGGTAGATTGTCAATGTGTAGCCCTAAGCTTATGTGTAGATTGCAGGTGATGTAGATGATCAGCAATCTGATGAGGTGAAACCTAGGTAGGAATGGAAATGTCGCAAGTGTGACAATAGTTTTTGATGGCTGTCCACTTGTGATCATAAAGGTGAGCTGCAATGATCGTTTCTACCCACCTTAAGTAGCCTTGAACAACAAGAGACTTCTGCAAATGCGCATGGAGCTTTGGAAGGGACAGATGAAGACACTGGGAGTGAGGTTGCAATAGAAGATCGTCAAGGAGCAGAAGATTATGGAATGGTCTGTTAATGAGCCTTAGAAAGCTGGGGAACATGTTGCACTTTGTCTAATAGGGAGTGACCAAAGTCAGAGAAAGGTGACTGGTGGCTTCCACCTTCTGCAGTACCTGGTGAAGAACGCCTGTCTGTGGAAAGGTGCAGGCATTGAGTCCCTCCAATGGGAATGACAACGCATCATCGTACCAGGCTTGACGATCGATGATGGGCGACACAAATCAGGAGAGCTGAACACTGAAGCAAGTGGCAAAGACATCAATTTCCAGGAACGGATGCAGTTTGCGATTAACTGGAACAGCACCAGGTGAAGTGACCACTCTTTCAGTTTGGGACAGGGTGTCGTAAATGACATGGGAGACCCCTAGAATTTGACGAGCCAGGACATATTTGTTGAGGGGGTCAATGGGCTGGAAGAAGGCGACATAGACTTCATGGACTCCATTCTGTTTATGCAGTGTTGTCAGAATGTATCGTGGGTTGAGAGGAGCTCTGACCAATGTGACACTGCTAGATTGACCTCCTTGAATTCTATGTTGTTTGATGTGGAAGCAATGGTCCAACGTCCTTCTACTTGGAGATAGCGAAAATACGCTCCCCAACCCATGGTTGAGGCCTCTACTAACAGATGAAAGGACAGAACAAACGGCTTCAGAGAGACACTGCTGACGTTCGATTTAACTAACCACCATTGTAGATGTGGGTGGAGCTGGATCGGTAGTGTAATCTGCATCTCACAGCTGTCGGTTCTGATGAAGTGAGCAAGAAAGCACTGAAGCAACTGGCCTCGCAAAGTGAGACCTTACGCTATCGTCAGAGCTGGATTTATTTTTTGAGTGCCAATGGAACAAACCGTTGAATGTTCACCCAACACTCGTACGGGATGAACATCATGCCTTGAAGAGGGCACCAATGAATTCGAGACGTTTGCTGGAAACTAACTTGAACTTGTTGACATCGACCCAACCATCCGAGCTGGTACAGAAGGCGATGCAAGAAGTCGAGTTGTTAAAGGAGTATGTGCCCGAATTCAGTTGTCAAGATAAGAGCTAAGACGCAGGGATTTTGTGACGGGCAGGGTGAGGCAGGTAAACAGCCCTCATGGGAACGTCAAGATGGGTACCATGTAGATGCAGGTAGACAAGGCAATCGCCGGGATGAACGAGTGCGATCGACGTCATGCGAAAAGTAGGCAGATCTTCCATATAGTTTGTGTTGAAAACCTCCATATTGAAGATTAGCTGGTGCTTCAAGCTATCCTTTTTGGTCACGAGGAAGATGGATGAATAAAACCCTAGAGTCGCGGGAAGTGGGCTGAGACAATCTTTAGAAGTAACATTCCTATAGTGTTGATCAAGGTCGTTAGCTGCCTGACTGTATACACCCTCTGTAGAGGCTGGAATGTAGCTGGTAAGGAGATCAGAGGAGTTGTTATCCCGTCGGGAGCAACTGTGTCATAAATGGGTCTGCGAGGATGATCCAGTTGTCCAAGAACAGCCCCAGTCTTCTGCCAACGGGAGTGTCTGAAATGGTTACTGCTGTAGGCTGAAGTAAGTCGTGCTGTATTGGAGTAACAGTTGGAGCCTAACAGTTTAGGTCTAGTAAAGGAGATTGATGGTCCGGAGGACGAATTAGATCGCGAAAACACATGCAAAGCACATAAACGTAGCGTTTGGGGATCAATTTTTACAGCTTCATCCAAACGCAACTGCCTGTAAAAAAACGTGCAGCACAGGCCCCCCTGCTGAATGGGTATACAAATCCACATCAACGGCTGTTCATACAGTCCTTATAACGAGAGTAGAGGCGGTGACAGAATGCCAAGACTGAATGCAGCTCAACGGAACAACGTCATTGGGAGATTAGAAGCCGGAGCAACTCTGCTAGAAGTGGCCAGGCACTTTGGCGTATCCAGACAGACAATCTCCGCACTGTGGACCCAATACAACAACACCAACAGAGTTGACGAAAGACCAAGGTCAGGAAGACCAAGGGTGACAACCCAAGCACAAGATCGATACATCCGGCTGCGACACCTTCGAGACCGCACTAACACAGCCACGTCTATAACCACACAGATCCCTGGGGTACACAGAATATCAGATCAA